GACATTTTGTTTGGCATTTGGGAGATGATGTCCGGTGGTTGGTTGGTTCGATGCTTGGTATTTGGCACCTGCAGCAAATGGCAGGTGGTGATATTGTGCATGCTAATGCCTTGTACAATTTGGCATCAAATCATTCAGAGAAAATCAACAATAATATCAACAGAGATCACATGATAACACATAAAATTTTGGCTAACCAATGGCTTATATACGCTTACTATAACTGGGATTGGAAGTTTGAAGTTTTTTGAGAGTGTTTCTAAGAAATGTCAAAAACTGGTCAACATAAATTATTTCTTGATACTAGAGAGATTTTAGAATATTGAGATAGTTTGACATTAAAATACTGAAGCATTATTTACCGTATAGGTGCTTATTGATTTACAAATAAAAATCGATGGTTTAGCATGTGTATTGGCGTGTGTAGTATTCAAATTTGCTATATAGTAGTTGCCTATGATTAGAAGTATGTTAACAATACAGTGTTGTAAGCAAATCAGTTAATAAAAGAAAATACTAGGAATTGATTATAAATTCTATTATCATCCATGTTTAGCAGCTCAATTTCAGTCGATCTGCAATATAGATTGGAAGTATATAACTAGAAAAAAGTTCATAATTTATGCGCGCAGAGAACTGAGGCCAGACATTAGGAGAATATATAGAAATGCTTAATTTGGAAATGTGTTAATGTTAGATGGAAAAATCTGATCGTCAATGATTCCACCTTATGCCTGGGTCACATTTGCTCCGATCAATTTTGAACAAAATACTCAATCGGCCGGGTGCCGTGGTGAAATCGGAGCAAATGTGACCAAGGCATTAATGATACAATGAAAGATAATTTTTTCTGATCATTGTTATGAGACAATTACATTTATCATATTAGACAAGATAATATACTAATTGTTGTTATTATAATGGATAAAGCATGTTTGCTATAAGCATAAACTCAGAAAGGAAATATCAACCCTGATCTGATCATTGAGACTCCTACACTCTTAGTACTATCTTACTACCCTTTGCATTCGTTTGACTTCACTGTTTAAAAGAGAGCTTCGTCTTCACTCTTTCAAACTAAAATAAACCTGTGAACTCACCGCGCCAATCAGTGTTCGTCAGCCAAATTTGACCGACGTTCTTTATATGGTCATTCCTTCTGACGTCATCGTTGAGCCCAGAATTGACCAATGACATGCGCATATTTAATTAGAACGCATTTGACGTATGTTTCTTCAAGCTCGCTGATTGGTGAAAGGTCAGCGCGTAGGTCAAAAGTGATTTACCCAAACTGTCACTGGTACCCGTCGTTGGGGCGGGGCTACTAAACTGTAATATGGTCTCTACTAGGCAGAGTGTAGTTTAACTAGACTCTGCACGCAGGGTACTATCTTACAGTGACATTCAATCAAACAGCACACTCAGCCACATCAATCAATGACCAATGACTGGTTCTGTTTTATTTAAAGTTCAAAGTTGTGAGAGGGTGATAAATCAGTGATACATATTAAAAAGGGTAGTAAATATTGCATATACATGTATATGAGCATATTTTTAATATTGTAGTGTATTTTTCACCAGTGTTGGAAGGTCGCCATAACCTAGTTTTACCTGAGGGGGCTTGTTGGAGTGGCAAGCCAAACTTGTGATTCATTTAAAGTTTTGGGCTATTTAGAATTAAATTATCGCTCTTGAGTTATTTGAATTAGGTTTTAATTAACTTAAAACACAACTTGTATGGTCTTCGATTGTTAGTACACAATATGTCAAGTACTTTATGCTGAGTTATTGTATGTATCGAGTTAAGTTAATCAAGTGGAAGATCAGAGGAAACCAGTCAGTTCAAATAGAAACAGATTGCTTGGGTCTTTTGATTAAAAAAGAAGACATTAGAAACCCATTAGAGTTTCATTATTGCATTGGAAAACGTGTGATTCAAACAGATACTGTAGTTGCGTTGCGTCAAACACAGAACTATTCATATAGAGTGTTTCAGTGCTTTTTCGAGGATTTAAAAAACATATATTTCAACATGCTATAAATAGCTTTATAGTGGTTCAATTCAATAGCCAAGTTGTGTGTTAACAAAAGAAGCAGTCTTTTCACCTGAATTTAGATATAAACTTCAGTGTGTACTTAAACCTAACTGAGCCAATTTATCTGAGCCAATTTACAAGGAGCAAAGTTCACATTTTTGACTGTCACAGCCTCTACAGTTGACTAGGACGAAAAGACCTTATATAGGTTAATACAGGTAACGCAACAAGGAAGAAATACAGAAGGATGTACATCATATATACCTACCTGTGTATTGTTGCTGTGACCTGAGGTGTTAAATACCTGTATGGCTGACATTAAAGCAGTCGTGTCTATGTTCATGGTATAGAATACCTGTATGTCTCTGTACCTGTATGTCTCTGTACCTGTAGAGACTATAAAACACTGGATAAGACCTAACGTCAACACCTTAGAAAATATTTTATAGGATTATCAATACATTTAGCACAGGACTTACTGTGATCCGATCAGGACCCGCTGATGTGAACTTCGCAGTGAATACAGTCAATACATACATATTGGGGAAATAGAATTCAACATGTGAATTGTATATTGATTTCTGATATGAATGAATATATGCAAGTATGAGTCAGATTGCATACAATATACAAGCTATTCAAGATATACTTGCTTATGTGGGAAGTTTTTCACATAGGTGTTAAGATGGTGTGACTGCTAGTGGTTAAGAAGTGTGACAAACTACAAGCTGAGTGACAACTATCTCAAGTTTATGGTGCCATTTTTACAAGTTAACCTTGGTATTTATTACATGAAGTATGAAGAGCAAATAATTTTGATATCCCATATGGAATTTAATGGAGAGTGAAACACGGGATATACATTGGATACCCATGTTATCCCATGAGGGAGTAGATAACATTGTATCTATTTCTAGAAATCATTATTTCTCATCATTAGGCTTACCAATGATATTTACTTCGGATCACTCTTCATATACATGTGTAATATACAAAACGGATATATAAAGGAAATACATGGGATATCAACATAGGATTAATTTGTGATAAATCAATCAGAAATATAACATGTGATATGGAGGTCATGATGACCCGAGACCAATAATTATTAAACAATACAATAGTAATATCTATAGGGATAACATCAATAGGCTGATTAAAAAACATGGCTAATACAACGCATATGATCTTTGGTGCGATCTTGGTGCTCTGTGCAATCCAAGTACAATTCAGGTGTGTATAACAGGTGTATTAGTTCATCAATATTTAATCAGAGGTTGATAATTCATATTGTCTACCTGTGAGGTCAACAATTGTATTGTTCTAATTAATTTAACCTACAAGTCAACAATCAAGTTTCTCTTGATTCACTGCAGGTTTTAATTTTAGATTATTGAAGTGTTTTTTCGTTTTGCTCTCTCCAGTTTATTTACAATCGAACTGGGTTGTATATATCATTGTTTATGCTGGAGATATTGAGATATGAGTCTGGTATGTCCTGCAATTAACAAGTTTATAATACAGAATTCTGTTCTGCATGATTCAAGTAGATTGGTTATATTTCCCACAGAGCTCAACACCTTCTTGACAGTGCTTGTTATTGAAACAACAGTATCCCATGGAGTTTATCAACGACAAAATACTTTTTGTAATGGCAGTATCAGTTCAATAATGATAATAACTCATAGTAATTCTTGTAAATTGAAACAACAGGGCCAGGTACTGCCTCAAGAAAAATCCCATTGAATTTAACAACTAACAGCAATTATTGAGCTTTGACATTGCTTATTACTGTAATGGCAGTCTCAGGCACAGTTTCATAAAATCACACAGAGTTTAACAACTACCAGTCAGTATGTGAGCCTTGACAGTGGATATTTTTTTAATGGCAGTATAAGGCAAGGCTCCAAGAAGTCAAAAAAAGTTTGAATATCAAAAAGCAAATCTTGAGTATTTTCAAATCAGAGTCCCAAGACTTGTAAAATGGATGTGTATTACAGTTTCACAAAAATAAGTCAAGGGTAACAAACAATCACAAAAAAATGTAGTGTACAGGTTGATTTTTTACATTGATTGTTTTTTACTGACGTTGTACTTCGTACTGACATACACATTCTATTTCATGTCTTCAGAATCAATGGGATATCACGCAATTCTATGATTCTGACTTATAGGATAGGGTATTTCTGTTTCATTTGCTGAGAAGAAATGAGATGCTATTATTCATCATGATGCAATCACACACACAATCAAGCATGTTAAAGAAAGTCATTATTGTTATCAATACTTTCTCCCTTGTCCATGCTTATTTCATTTAATTTCTCTCTGAAATTTCATTGAAGTGTTTGAATTATTGGCATTTCTACATAATTCGAAGTAGGTACTCAAGGCTGATTTATTTAATTTCTTGCAATTCCTCTTCTTTTCCTCTCTATTTTCATTATTCAAACATGACCCCATTGCACTTTACCTTTGGGTAACCAATATAGACAATGTTTCTTTCACTTTGTAATTATCTTCATAAATAATTGAATTTTTTCATTCTCACCACTTTGAGTATTGTGTTACTGTAACCCAATGAAATATTAGACTTCCTTTATCAGCTTCTAATTTTGGATATACTGTAGTGATTTTTAATTACACTATAGCATGGTTGGTTTAGGGGCGACCTTGTTATGCCACAGTGGAGTAGCAACATCAGATATCCCATTGCCTCCTAAAGGAGATGCATCTCAGCTCAATGTCCGATTGTCTCAATATTGTCTCAATATTGTCTCAATGTCAATGTACAATTTACAGATATTTTTGATTTATAAGTTCATGTAACTCATCGTGTTTTAAAGATATATTTCAAATCTGAAAGGCTTGTGATAAAAAGGCCTTTACAGTTATGACATTTAGCTTTGTTTTCTGATTTAATTATTTACAAAAGCTTGACTGTTTAGAATTTCACATTTGTTTTAGATGCCAAGAGAACATTGATGAGTGTGCATCATCACCATGCCAACACAACACAACATGTATAGATGGCGTAGCCAATTTCACGTGCAACTGTTCCGGAACAAACTACACTGGACAGTTCTGCGAGTTAGAAGTAAGTAAAATACATAGGCAGGATTAACTTGTGGTAACTTTTCCAAATTGAACTAATTTAGTTATATTTTGGCTACTAATTTCCAAATACAGCTAGAAAATCAGATTGTGGCGTTGCATTACAATTTTGGAAAAAGGATGTCTAGAATGACAGTATTTTGTTTTATGTATAATGATTAAAGAAATCAGATGTCTTATGAAAATCGAGACTACCCATCAGCTGAATCAAATCATAATACTTAAGGGAAACAAATCTTCAGGAACCCTTGCAAAATTAGAAATTAAATGTCCCATTTCCCAAATAATGAGTTCCAATAGATTTTGTTGAGTATAGATGTCATTGTAGTGTTTGGCATGACTATAAGAGGTCTACAGACACCTGTCTGAATCATTAGGTCTTTCTAAAAGGCTATTAATTTCTTTACAGATTTTATGATTGCCATTTAAGAAATTAACACAATTAAATATATATTTATGCATGGGAAAATCAATTTTGCTACTCAACAGGGTTTGAAAAGTTTAAGAAATACTAACCATTTCTTGAAAGCATAATGAAGTAGATGGAGGATAGGAATTATGATATTTGTTATTCGTGATCTATTGTCAAAAATAAATATAAATAAAATCAAATTTTGAAAATATTGGATTATGTCTAGTAGTACAATGCATTACAGTATAGGAAAAATAGATGGGTGTGGAAATCATGAAAAATATGCAAAACCCAAATATCCTCATTGTAATTAGCTGACGAGTCAGAATTGGGCTCAGTCATTTAAAGATTCAAATTCTGGAAAGGAAAAGAAGTGGAAAACTCCAATCGGAGGTTTGATATATTAAATGATATTCAAGAAGTATCTGAAAACATTAAGAAAATACAAAACTTCAGTTGACTGGTCCATCTTACTTAGTGATATTTATCTGGATTTGAAAGAATGGATATAATGAATGTAAAAATAAAGAAAACTTAAAAGTGTCAATCAAATCCTATGGGTCAGACATAATTAAAGATGAATAGGAAAGGAAGCAAATACAAAATTTCAATATTGGGCCTTGCGTGGGTCATGTCTCTAATGACAGTTGACTGGTACTTTAGCAATTTTACTAGTCAGTCAAAAGCTCTGCTGGATTACACTGCACAGCAGACGGCAAGAGATCAGATTGCAGATCTCAGATCTTTCTGGAATAAGATCTTGTTCCGTCAGGTATTGGATTGTGTTACAGTTGCCACTTGCTCTATTGGATATCTTCCTTTCCTTCAATAATAAAACTAAATGGATTCCTCTGGGTTTCAAAGATAAGTTCCCCCTCTACTCCCATTGTTTAACTATGAGTCGTGAATGCCATATTATTTTGCCATTTTTTATATGTTACCAATATTAAAAGGGGCACAAAGAGACAAAACCTAAGAGCACACACTTTGAATGCTGTTTATCCCAATACAAATATAGACAATTAAATAGTAGTTTTATTTGTAGGGAATATAAATGTATTTTTTAATATTCCAGATCACAGAAGGTTGCAGCAATGACCCCTGCCTCAATGGTGCCACTTGTAATGTAAATGTATTTTTAATATTCCAGATCACAGAAGGTTGCAGCAATGACCCCTGCCTCAATGGTGCCACTTGTAATGTAAATGTATTTTTAATGTTCCAGATCACAGAAGGTTGCAGCAATGACCCCTGCCTCAATGGTGCCACTTGTAATGTAAATGTATTTTTAATATTCCAGATCACAGAAGGTTGCAGCAATGACCCTTGCCTCAATGGTGCCACTTGTAATGTAAATGTATTTTTAATGTTCCAGATCACAGAAGGTTGCAGCAATGACCCCTGCCTCAATGGTGCCACTTGTAATGTAAATGTATTTTTAATATTCCAGATCACAGAAGGTTGCAGCAATGACCCTTGCCTCAATGGTGCCACTTGTAATGTAAATGTATTTTTAATGTTCCAGATCACAGAAGGTTGCAGCAATGACCCCTGCCTCAATGGTGCCACTTGTAATGTAAATGTATTTTTAATATTCCAGATCACAGAAGGTTGCAGCAATGACCCTTGCCTCAATGGTGCCACTTGTAATGTAAATGTATTTTTAATATTCCAGATCACAGAAGGTTGCAGCAATGACCCCTGCCTCAATGGTGCCACTTGTAATGTAAATGTATTTTTAATATTCCAGATCACAGAAGGTTGCAGCAATGACCCTTGCCTCAATGGTGCCACTTGTAATGTAAATGTATTTTTAATATTCCAGATCACAGAAGGTTGCAGCAATGACCCCTGCCTCAATGGTGCCACTTGTAATGTAAATGTATTTTTAATATTCCAGATCACAGAAGGTTGCAGCAATGACCCTTGCCTCAATGGTGCCACTTGTAATGTAAATGTATTTTTAATGTTCCAGATCACAGAAGGTTGCAGCAATGACCCTTGCCTCAATGGTGCCACTTGTAATGTAAATGTATTTTTAATGTTCCAGATCACAGAAGGTTGCAGCAATGACCCCTGCCTCAATGGTGCCACTTGTAATGTAAATGTATTTTTAATATTCCAGATCACAGAAGGTTGCAGCAATGACCCTTGCCTCAATGGTGCCACTTGTAATGTAAATGTATTTTTAATGTTCCAGATCACAGAAGGTTGCAGCAATGACCCTTGCCTCAATGGTGCCACTTGTAATGTAAATGTATTTTTAATGTTCCAGATCACAGAAGGTTGCAGCAATGACCCCTGCCTCAATGGTGCCACTTGTAATGTAAATGTATTTTTAATATTCCAGATCACAGAAGGTTGCAGCAATGACCCCTGCCTCAATGGTGCCACTTGTAATGTAAATGTATTTTTAATGTTCCAGATCACAGAAGGTTGCAGCAATGACCCTTGCCTCAATGGTGCCACTTGTAATGTAAATGTATTTTTAATGTTCCAGATCACAGAAGGTTGCAGCAATGACCCTTGCCTCAATGGTGCCACTTGTAATGTAAATGTATTTTTAATGTTCCAGATCACAGAAGGTTGCAGCAATGACCCTTGCCTCAATGGTGCTACTTGTAATGAGTTCAATGTTACCTCTGGATCATTCAATGTGGTAAGTTGTATCAAATACTGAATGAGATTGTTTTACTGAAAAAGACATTTTTTAATATACCTAGGGTAATTGGTAATACATGTATGATTTTTGGCAAAATCGCTGCTACTCTTTTGAAGGATTTGGTTAAAATGATTTAGGTAAAATTTACTCTCATAAACTTTTTTCGCAAAAAAACAGTTTTTAATCTCAACAAAATATCCTCTTATACAGTAGATAAACTTATGTGGTGAAGTGGTAAGGTAAACGTGATACTTGTTGTGAACTTAGGTTTGCATTGATCGATTCTCATAAAAACTCTGATTTGAAAGAAAAAATTACAAGAGTATAACATCAATAGAACACACCTGTAGGCTAAGTGAACATAATTAAAGACTACAGAATGAAAAATATTCTATCATATTGCATTGAGTGCAATTATTGCATTTAATAAATGTGATTCCCATCACAGGTCATCTGAATTCAGGTCAGGAAAAGTACAATGATAAACCTGAAGTCAGTGAACATGTAATTTGCCATTTTACTGTATTTGGATTTTTTGTCAATAAAAAACAATGTAACATGTGTTTTTCAGCTAAACATTTTTGAATATCAGGACAATGCAAACGTAATATGTGGTTGGGGAATCTCCGGGGGGAATCTCACCCTTGAATCAGAAAATTGGGAAAAGTCAGAGAATTTTGATTTGAAAATGTTGTGTCAGCCCTAGAATTGTGATATTGCAAAATATGCAAATGAGTGTTGATACCTCAGATATTGATGTATAGACTATGAAATGTGAGGGGAGGGATGTGTTATGGTTGAAAATAGAGTTAAGTGATTGTTGTACCATTTTGGAAAGTTTAACTGAGGAAATCAATCCAATAAATATGTTTAGATTGAACCCTGTGAAGAGCAATCAGTTCATAACAGACACATTATTGGAATTTAATTATAACACATGTTACAATAATTACTCCCTTCTAGGTCAATGTGGGTACTATCCAAGGTGTCCCTATATAGATCACATGACTATAACTAACCAATCAGAAGTGAGAACCTACTTGTTGTTATTGAATCAAAATGGGATGCAAAGTTTTTTTTCGATAGAATTCGGATATTTTTATGTCCCACTTTGGAATAGCATTCTCAGTGTATTTTGGAAATTGTGAAAAGTGTAATTTGGAATGTTAGTCTAGCCTTACCTTAAACATAGATAATCTTCTGATAAGTAAGGGTATGAAAAAGGAAGATTCCTCACTTGCACTCTCTGAACTTTGATTTAAGTCTATGGACTCTTTGGATAAATACATATGAATAAGCTGGTATTTGGAAAGCTGTTCAAACATGTGTCCAAGTTAATATAAGAAATAAGGAATAGAACTTAATGTCATCATACTTTAATTGACATAAAGTAAAAGAAGGAAAACTATATGATCATGGTGACTGATTCTTATTATAGGATTACATTCTACAATGCTTGAATAGCAGGCAATAAATTGGACTTTTATCTTTATCTATACAACTTTGGATATATATAGAAATTAAGGAACAGTTGTGACACACTGAAAATCATAAAAACTGGTTGAAATAGGTAGGAACTAATCTTACATCTAAAACAACTTGGAAGTCAATGCAAACATAAGCATTTGTATTCAATACCTAAAGAAGTTCTAGGTACATAACCAGCGAGAATATATAGTGTATCTAGGGATCTAGAATATATTCACACAAGTTGGTTTTCCATATCTTATTTCTATATCATTTTGTGTTTTCTTTGCAGATCCAGTTCAACTGCAGTTGTGCTGGAGGTTATGAGGGTAAATATTGTGAAAATATGATTGACTACTGCAACCTAGCTGACCCTGTGGACAGTAACCCCTGTGTCCGTGGCAACTGTAGCAATAATATGACAACACTCAACTACACATGTACTTGTGACACAGGTATGTTACTATAGCAACTGAAGTCTTGACTTGTAAGATCCCATTGATTATGGGCATTATTCGTTTTGTAAGTGTTCTTGGTGAAAGCATGTTCAACTTTATACTTTTCATTCCATCAAAACAAAATAATGTTCCATAAATTAGTGTTGTCGCGATGTCCCATATGTTTCAGACATCGATGCATCGCCAGAATCACTTTTGGCGATGTATATCGTGATGTATCGATTAATCGCGACAACACTATACTAAAATTGTTAGTAATATATTACATGTTTCCATTTACACTTTTGCTAATATTTGGGACTGTTATAATAAATAGAATTTTTAATTTTAAACATCAAAGAATTTCATTCAGAGATACGATTCATGAGAGCCAAACATGATTATGGATAGGAAAATAGCCCATCGCTTTTATTCATCAGTTCAGTTCATATCACTTTTTTCAAGAAATGGTTCATACATACAGGGTTTGATTTTCAATTTCAGGCTTCACTGGGTTCAACTGTGAGGAGGAGATAGATGAGTGTGCTTCCAACCCCTGTAAGAATGGTGCCACTTGTACTGACAAGATTGGAGCCTTTGAGTGTGAATGTGCACCAGGTAAGTACATGTACTTCATAGTAGACGGGTCAAAAGTTAAGGGAGGGGTAGAGAGTGACAAGTTGGGGTAAGTACCTTTATCTTTGAGAGCATTTGAATGTGAATGGGCATCAGGTAGGGACTTGGGTTAGGGGCTGAGTACTCTGAGTTTGAAGAGAGAATATAATAGAATGGTATGCTTGATTGGCGAGTGTAAGGTACCTTGGTCAATGGATGTAGGTGGTTAGGACCCTGGATCATGGAGCCTAGGTATCTTAGGTATTTCAGCATATAGGAGGTTAGCACTCTAGGGTCCATTATGCTGGGTAATACACTTTGATAGAGGATGATGGGTTTTTAGATTCCTTGGGTAGGGGAGAGAATTAGATATCTTTGATTTAGGTGGTAAGTACCCTCGATTCAAATTGCGAGGGATATCATCATATAGGAGGTTGGGACCCTGGGATTGAGGGTGCTGCCACCCTTGGATTAAGGAGGTTAATTCAGATATCTGGGATTACAACATTTGTATGTTATGCTTATTTACAAGTTGAAACATTAAAGCTTATGCCATTTAATAGCTGAAAATATTAGATAATGAGGTAAAAGTAGCTTCATTTGAATCATCTCACTTCAAAGAAGCTACACTAGTATGGTTGTAAAAGCATTTTTTAATTAACAAGTAGAAACGCTTTGTTCTTTGTTCAATATGCTGTGTTTGTTATATGCTCTATTCTAGTATGCATGTTTTTCCCACAAATTAGTTATACTGAATGACATTAAGTTTTTGCTGCAGGCAATGTAACATACAGCCTCAAATATTCAATACATGATTGTACTCAGTTGTGCTATGTATGCATTTCAGTTATTCTATACTACACCTCTAGCTTTTAGGAGGTGATTCTATTTTCTCTAATTTCCTATGATATTTCTTTCCTATTTTGATATGGTTAGTACATGTATATGTTATATTGTAAATCAGTTATGCCTTAAAAAATGACAGAACCTCTTTAATGTTAATTCTATTTCTTGTGAAAATGTCTCTAATGGAAACATCTCTAATATAGACACTCTTTGAAACATTTCTCTATTTTTTAAACCCCATATTATTTACCAATTCCCAGAATAAATTTAAGTGATTCTTAGAACACCCAGTGTTAACATTGAAATCTTGGTGTAAGATAGAGGTATATAATTCACCCAGTCTACCTCAAGGTGAACAATTGTAAATCATGTATTACATGTGAATTATAGGTTGCACGATTTATTTCCAGGCTGGGAAGGGGTGACATGCGAAGAAGACATCAATGAGTGTAATTTCACCCATATATTAAATGGTTCATCCCCATGTGAGAACAATGGGACGTGTCTCAACACACCAGGGTCTTTCCAGTGTATGTGTAATGGAACCGGATACAGAGGTAAGTGTCTTTTTAGTCTAAGTTGATCTGAGCAGTGTACCAAGCTTTCGATTCAATGAGAAATTCCTATGTGTTACTAAATGTAAGATACACAGGAATATTAAAAACCTTAATTTGGTTCACTGTTTCGTTCATTTCATTCAAAGAATTTATTATTACATTATTTGAGGGATGTTCAATAAATTGTACCTATATTATTTATTGAACAGCCAAAATAGCATATTCTTAGATAATAGCCTAGCTATCTTATAAAGTCATCTTGCCCAGATCAACTTAATAGATTAGCAGTAAATCAAGAATCAAGCTGCTTTATTCACTTTCTTTATTTCATTTCTTGTTTAGTTAGTAAACATTGTAATTTTATTTCCAGGCCCCACCTGTAATGAACAAATCAATGAGTGTAGAGAAACCCCAGGGCTTTGTCAGAATAATGGTACATGCTTTGACACTGATGGCAGTTATTTCTGCAACTGTAGTGTAGGCTACAATGGGTCTAACTGTGAGAGGGCAGAATGTATAGGGCAATGTATTAATGGGGCCACATGTGATATTAGCACTGGACAGTGGAAGTGCCAATGTTTGCCATTCTTTGAAGGTTTGTTGAGTTCTTTTTCAGTTTGTTTGTTGTTTGTTGTTAATATCCAAGTGGAAGTGTTAGTTCTGTTTTATTTCTTTGTTCATTTATTCATATATAAATGATATTCTAACTATCATAAGCATTGACTATATATTGATATATAAGGCAGTTGAAGAGATGTTACTAGGCTCTAATGATGCCATTGTATTTTAGTAGGGAGATTTTTGAGATGCTTCAAAGAACTATTAATGTTATTTCAGGTCAACAGTGTGAGGTACGAGGCCCATGCGTAGACCAACCTTGCTCTAATGGCGCCACCTGTGACCAAAATGGCTCCAACTACACATGCACATGCGCCCCAGGGTGGCGTGGGAAAAACTGCACCCAGGACATAAACGAATGCACTGAGCTCTCCCCTTGCCAAAACGGAACGTGTACAAACCTACCTGGGTCATATAATTGCACATGTGACCCAGGCTACACGGGTAGGGACTGTGAGACCATGATCAATTATTGCGACAGCTCCCCCTGCTTGCGTGGCCAATGTACCCCCATTGTCAATGGCTATACGTGTAATTGCACTGGCACAGGTACTAACAACATACTTACCTGTTCATGCTTTTTACCTTTGTATTATGACTTATTTTAAACAAGTACAAACTCAAAGGTTTGTATGACTAGGACTCTTGTCACTGGGGACAGTTGTCTCTGAGGACATTTGCCACTGTTTTGCATGAAATGTTAAATTGATGCATACTCATACAGTTTATTGTGATATGTTCGGAATGTTTCTTTGGAATGCTGACCATGGCCACAAATTGATATTTGTAATGTTATTGCTGAATTTTCCATTGACCATTGCCAGATTTTTAGACAGATTTAGATTTTTAATATCATATTCAGTCATATGCTTTTACTAACAAGATCGATCATATTACTTGAACATTCCATATTTACAAAACATTTTCATATCAGTTAAAGTAATTTCTGCATGTGGATGTTTTTAAGCTCCATCACCACAAAGCCTGAATATTGAATTGCATAAAACATCATTTCAGAATGTATTTTAAAATCATTCTCTTATTACAGAGGTCATACTGCTCACTTGTTCAACTATTTGCACATAGTGTCCAGAAATAACTTCTTTCTTTTTTGTTTACATTGTTGAAAAAGCTCTTCAAGTTTTCCCATTTTAGAACTTCACATTATACACAATTATAATGACTTGGAATAACTTTGTTCAACTCAAATTCCACTCAAAAGTAAGTTGGGATTCTTTCAAATTTATTGGTCCATTATAATTGAATAACTTGCCGCATCACATTGAGGGCAGTGCCAGTTCCAAATCTAAGGCTGTATGAAACAACACTTGCTATGACAGAAGTACTAATCATTGATTGTTGGCTTCAGTAATACATTTTTAAATAGAGGTTCTACTAGACGTACACCATAATGCATTCTTGTTGTCTTGATATGTGATCTCATACACAACAAAATCAAAATGTGTCCTGTTATGTTGTGTCCATATTGCAATTTTAATATATCAACGAATGTACATTTACTTGAATTGTGGGTATTGAATTATGAGATTGTATAGTATTAAGGGACCATGCCATGCTACATATATTTAAACCATATATTACACAAATACTGGAATGGGAGTGTTACTTTATTTTGTGCATATTGGGGGTTTGTTTTCCTTGACCGATTGTGATTATATGTGTTTCTTTTTCTAAGTGTGTTTTTTAAGACCGTTTGATCTTACTCTTTTTGGCACTTGTGCTTACATATTTCTTGAATATTTAGGGTACAACGGAACCAATTGTGACATTGAGATCAACGAATGTGAAGTGAATCCAGGAATATGCCTGAATGGAGGCACTTGTAGAAATACAGCGGGTAGTTACGAATGTGAATGCCTCGAGACGCATCTAGGTAAGCATGATTCTCTAGTGACCATTCATTCTTTAATGCTTATTGGTCACTTTCAGAATAAAAAAGGTTCTCCGGGATATTTGATTTTTTAATTTTCTCTACACTTTACAATACTTGTACTTATACCTGTTATTTAAACTTTTAATACTCTGCTTTAGAGCACTTTAACTCATACTTAAAAGCAGTTCAATTTGAGAAAGTGGATTACCATATTGTCTGCATTTATACAAATGACAGACATCCTGAATACATGAGATACCATTATAATAAATACATTCATGTAACATTGGCATTGCTGTTGTGTAGTAATTATTTCATACATTCAACTTTTTGTTGACAAAAATAGAGCATGGCTTGTATGTGAGATAATTAGAAGTTAAAAATAATAAAAAGATATAATTATATGTACTTTTTTGCTTTTGATTCCAGGTTCAACATGTCAGTATGAAAACAAATGTTCAGTGAATAGCACATTCTGCTTTAATGGAGGGACATGTGTTCTTGATGGAGAATATAAGAATGAAACATACGAGGGGCCACCAAGCTTTATATGTCGATGCACAAATGAATATAAACCCCCTAATTGTGAACAGCCAGTGAGTAAAATAGTTGTAGTTCTTAGTTATTCATAAGGAATTATATTGGAAAACATGTGCTGTTTGGTTGTGTTCACCAGGCCCGTAGCCTGGATTTGTCAAGGGGTTCACTTTTTGAAAAATTCCAGGGGGGATCACTAGTGACAATTTTGGCCCAAAAATGGCCAAAACCACTGAAAAAGTGCTCAGATTGAAAGATATTTTGGCCAGGGGGGTTCGCTCGAACCCATCAAACCCCCCCCCCCGGGCTATGGGCCTGTTCACTTATAGATATTGGTGTCAAAATGGGTATAAGATATCAGAAATGAGTGTAATGAACATGTTTTCTTTAATTAATTCCTTTTTTAATTCCTTCTTTATGTAATGCTATTTTTATGTATTGTTGTTGACATTTTACATTTACATATTGTACTGCTAGTTATGCTTTAACTTCTTGCTATTCATTTTGCATCGAGTCTCTTCACCTGTATGTCAATATTCCTAACCCATATTTTCATTTTTTAATAATGAAGCAGTTGTTCTTTAAAACCAGTGTAGTTGGAATATTCCACTTTCTCTTGAGGGTGAAGAGATTGATGCAAAATTGCTTACCTTTACCTTGTAATATATTGTTGTCATAGTTATGTTTAGAATAACACCTTTGAAGCTATGCATTTAGTACTCAGCTTTTGCTAACTTATATTGGGGCTATACTTAGGACTGTAACTGTATGTGTGTTAATATTCTCCCATCAGTTGACCCAAGAATCCTTTAAATACTATTTTGCCTTATCAAAGCCTAATTTTGCCTTTTAACTCTAGTCTATAGCTCCAATATTTGGGTTCAAAATAGAATATGCTCCCCTGCTTGTAGTTATCAATGTTATTATTTAATGACTTTTTCTTTAGCATACAACTCCTAGTTTAGCGCCACTAACTTCTCGCAATCCTAGCACCCTCTATTGGCACGATAGTGCACTAACAGTACGTCCAGGTCTTGGCTTTACAAGCAATTTCACAACAGCTGAAAATACTGAGCTTGCAGCTAACAGCAATGTTCTTAATAGTGAGGTATACTAACATTTAACACCATACACCTTTCAATGTACAGTAAACCCTGTTTGTAAAACTTTAAGACGTCAGGATAACATGAGAGTCCATCATGTCCATGGAACATTCAAATATTTGGCGTGTGAGGCTGGCATAAAATTCTTTTAGTTTATGCTTTAACATATTTAGTGTCTAACATGATGTCTTTGTTGTTACTCTATATGTCGAGAAACTGTATTTTATAATGCAATGCATGTTGCACCTTGCTTTAATATGTATGTTAATTAGGGGTGGGACGGATAACCGAAATACCGAAAAACCGCGGTTCATAGCCTTCGGATCGGTTTTCGGATCATGACCCTACTTTCGGATCAGCTTTTCGGATCGTTTTCGGATTAATATTTCATTGGTCAAGTATCAATAAAACAGTTAAAAACACTGTTTTACAGCAACATTTTTGATATTCCTAGTCCCTACCTTGTCTGTCTTGTCTGTTGCTAGCTCACTCGTTTACTAGATTCGTTTCGTATCCGCGTATTCGTATCCCTCGGTAATCAACATGTGGTCCCTGGTACTATATTCTTTAGTCGTGTATTCTAAATAATATGTACTGTTCATGAAATACTATAACATAAAATTCCATCTATAAAATATTGTTATAACGTGGCATAATTGATACAAAGATTTGCGCAAATTTATATTTGCGCAGGTTCGATATAGGGTATTATTTTGTGCGCACCCACAATACATTCAAATATGGCGTCTGGATCTCAAATTCCCGTTTTCCCAAAAGAAATGAAGATTATTTTATTGGTTGTATTAAAAGAAAGTGACAGTCAGCAGTGAAGTCAGAGACAAAGCAGCTAATCATGTCAATCAATACAAATCCTTAAAATGAATGAACCGAACCGAAAAAACCGAACCGACGGCTGATGATCCGAAAAACCGAACCGAACCAAACCGAAACGAACCGTCCCATCCCTAATGTTAATTGTTTTATTAATTTTAAATGTTTTATTTATTTTACCACTTTAAGCATTTCACAATGAATTATACATACCTTATTGTGTGTGTGATCTGTATCATATTCATATTTTATAAACTCCTATTTCACAAGTTTTATATATTTCACCACATGTTGTATACACTTCCTAACACATGCTATATATTTAACATTTTGTCTCTTCATATTACTATATTTTACATTCAATGCATACTTTTATTTTATTTAAGGTAACTGGGGAGCTCACCCAGAGTAACAATATCCCTCTAATAGTAGGGCTGTCAGTCGGGGCAGCGGTGCTTATATTTTTAATAGGTAAGTTAGAAAGAAATCCCATTGGCTAATGGCTAGCAACCCTACTTTCTGGCCATACTATTTTCTGACTATTACAAATGATTTAACAGTTTTGTGAGGTCTTAATAATCCCAAATGGGTCTTTAATAGGCTTAAATAGATGTTTTAAGGTAAAGTTAATGTAAGCTACTTATAGGCAGAAAATGTGATATTTTATGTAGTTGTGTATGCTTTAAATGGCATCTCATGTTTGATAAGATATTACATGTCATAAGAAATGATCAGATTATATATTTAATAGGTACTTACTTACTAAAATCCATTACTTCACAATTTACTGATGCTAACATGTTTACAGCATTTACATTGTCAGTATATCCTTTATTTTCCAGTATTAATTGCCTTCTTTATAATGGCGAGAAGTAAGCGTGCTACACGAGGTGCATACAGCCCTAGTCGGCAGGAAGTGTCAGGATCACGGGTAGAAATGAACAGTGTCTTGAAACCTCCCCCTGAGGAGAGACTAATATGATGGCTGACATAATAGTCGGCATCACCTTATATATCACCACATATCCATGTGATACGGGACCCTCAAATTTTACCCTAGACTCACAAAGTGCAATGTTTTCAATTTGTATGGACTTGATAGAATCAGGTGTCCCATATTAGTCTTGTATTAAAGCCTGTACTATAATCTACACACTTATTGGGGAGTAAGTAGTATGAGAGGCCAAAGATGTCATGAAAGATGAGGACCACATCTGCGCAAAGTCTATAGCTGTACACTGTAAGTTTCACATGTTAAATCAATGTAAGCTACACATATGCTAAACCATGAAAATTTCTGTTCAGTAATGTCCAGTGTAAGAATGATAAGCTCCTTGTTAATAGAACCTCGGCAGGACATCTTACACAGACAATCGATGTGGCATTTGATAACATGAACATTGCTGAAATTAAAAGTCTAGAGAACATTTTACACAGACTATTATTAATGTAAACATTGGAGGAATTTGAGGGATCTGTGTTATATAATGAAACATATCACCATGTGTAACATATCATATAGATCATCATCATCATCATGAATTGTACAGATTGTACATAGCTGTACTCAAGGCCTATTGTACAGATTGTAATTCATTGTATTTTATAATACAGATTGTACAAAGCTGTTTTTAACTTTATGCATTATGAGAAACTGTACTTTACTGTACAGATCTGTACATTATTGTACATATCTGTACTCTATTGTACATTTATTTACTCATTGTACTCTAGAAATGTTAAAACAGTTTATAGAAGCATTATTAAAACAATTTACAGTAAGGGAAATGAAATGTAAATTTACTAAAAAATCATTTGTTATAAATCTCACAAAGATTAATAATATAACATTAACAATAAAAAAGTAGAGAGTGCACCATAAATTGTAGAAGCACTTTTCTGCAAATAATGTGAGATGCTCTGATATCAAAACTTGAAATGTATCAAAAATAGAAGTTATTAAAGATGTATGGTGCTTGGCATGAAATCACATATCTGCAGGAGAGACTTGCATCTGCAGGAATCTCCTGCAATAAATATAAATACTGCTACAAATTGCTCAGCTATATTTTCAAATTATATATAGTTCAATATATTCTTCTTAAAGATTATAAATTCATTGTCAGTCAAAATGAAAACTCTCTTGTAGAAATGAGACATTTACATGTATCATAGACAGTGTTACCAGAGCATAAACATATTTTTTAGATGTTGTAATATTAAGGAACAGTCTAAATATGCAGTCTCATGAAATGGCCAAAGTGTTCTTTTCATTTACTTGTTGGCTATATTTCTTCTGACTCTGCATATAAGACTGTTCCATTAAAAGCAAGGGTTTATATCATGAATTAAGGAAAACAATGGTGTTATTACTTACCTATTACTAAGTATAAGGAAGACTTGATAAATAAAATGATTCACACATCCTCCATAATAATATAAGAACTATAAGAACCATGCAGCATTAATGGAGAATCTGAAATGTTTCATCTACTTTGGTTAAAATGTGTGTTTTATTTCACACAATTTTAGGATATAAAAAATCTTGTCCTTCTACATAACATACAAGTGTTAAACATAATAGAATTGAACTCCAATTACTTAACTGCAATATAACATGTAATAATCATACTTATTATGTCACCACCACAAGTACTGACATTTTTATGGTCTCCAATTTTTTCGTGATGACATCAGATGCTAGGCTCTCAGAGTTTAGTGTCTGTAACAAATGGAAGGTGATGACATTTTGCATGTTAATAATAAAGGTTTAGCAAGGCATGTGGCAGAGGAGGCATCTGCCTCACCAATGTCTACTTAGAAATTGGAACTGAAAATAATGTAATGCCTCGCCTATTTGAATTTGCCTCCCTGATTTGAATTAGCCTCGTCTATTTTTGAACCCTGGATATGCCCTTTAATAATGAGGCTACAATAGTCTAAAAGCAGCATTGAAAATAATAGCACCAGGTGTTGTTTTCTGTGAGGTTTAATATAGTATGTGCCTGGTAGAATGAATATCAAGATATTTTGAATAAGTTGTTAGTGACAATATCTTGACCTAAGTTGTCTGCCAATATTTCAGATATTGCATATTGTAGCACTGCCTTAGACTATTTTTGATGATGTCCACATGTTAAAATTTTTAGAGTTCTGTTAGACTGGATTTTTATTCTGTCATTAAATTGATTCACCAATTTGAATGAGACTTTGAAATACTGAAAGTCAATAATCTACGCCATTATATTGTTATTATTACAATTAGGACAATTCATTGTACAAACCATTTAGTTATTATCCTACTCAATTAATTATAATGGAAATGTTTTAATGTTAAATGAATTAGAACAATTTTATATCAAAATGTAACAATTTTACAGATTATGTAAACAATTTTATATACTCGCATGTGTAGTTTTTACGATATAAAAACTACAGAAGATATTTTATAAATGAATACCTATGTACAGGTCAGTTAGTGTAAATAGATATTATATTTATGTATAAAGGATCAAATTTTTGATAAACATGAAAAAAGTTGCACTATGCACAATAAAAAGTTTAAACTAGAGATACATTTCCTTGATCTGAAAAATGGGTTGGAGGGGAGTAGGCGATTTCTGCAAGAAAATTCCAAGTGTCCCCTCTGTCCCATTTTCCGATCACCAGGCGTGAAATACAGAGTTGTTAAATTAAGATATTTTAAAACTCAAAATGTTTCCCCAACTTCATGAAAAGAATTATTTTATTCATTACGATTTCATGCTGCAATTGTAATGAAAAACATGTGCTGAGAAAATAAAGAATATGAAATGTGAAAAATCAAAAAAGTTGTTGCTTTTCTTTTGGCATTATATAATAAACATTACAAAATCTCTGAGGGGTGATCAATAAGTAAGAGTTGTTTATCCAAATGTAAAAGATTTCTTGATTGTTAAAAATGACAGCAATAATGTCTCAAAACAACTGAAAATATTTTATGGGGATATAATTATTCAAGTTTATAGGTGGAACATGTGCCTTTGCCCTCGGGCCATATCTAAACCTAAATGAATACTGTAAAACTAGAATATTTTACTCCAATATTAGTTTTACTATATCTCTGAATTCATGAATCTTTTGAGGACCCCATTGTACATTGTCTATCACTTCACTTAGGCAAAATATGATTTTTTAATCTGATATAATAATATAACAGGATTTATTTGTACTGATGCCCATAAAGTAAATGTAAAGTAAAGAAAATCGGATTACATTCTTCAAATGCAAATAAAATATTACTTTGATATAAGAATCCTGTCTCTACCAATCATTTGCTAAATTATTATGTCAGCAGATTCTTTTATTATGTTCCCCTCACTCGTCAATAGAAAAATTGTCTTCTGATGGTCATTCATTCATGTTTTTAAAGTTACTACACATTTTTTCAAGTTTCTCAATATGCGATTTTCTAATATATTTCTTTCTGATATGTCCATTCTACAGTATATTGATGGTACATGGTATAAAGAAGCTTATTGCAAAAGTGAGAGAAGGCTCAGACCAAGACAGTTGAAGGCAATAAATCCAAAATATAACCATACTTTTTGTGTTATTGAGTAATATTTGAGTCTTATTAATGAACTATAAACCAGGTTAAGGGAGTTTTGTATGTTCAGAAATTTTAATGACTTCCAAATAGACTAGAAGCGAATAGAAATAATCTTGATAACGTCATTAAACATTCAAAATTCAGTCAAAGTCATATTTGGAATCTACATGTTAAAGTACATCTATAGATATGGTTTTGAAAATTGTTTATCAACTTTGAATATTCCATTTTTTGAAAATGTGACTCAGATCGGGTTGATTCCCCATAGACACCATGTTACAAAATCACAAAAAGTGAAATATCTTTTCTTATATTGGACAGATAACATTTTCTTTTACTGGACATATTTTAATTTGCATAACTATTAGATACATAAGGTTTATATGAAAATTGAACCACTAAAACAGATGTAATTTAAGTTAAAGGGAACTTCCTACTATACCCGCCATGCTATCTGACCTGAATGAGCCACCTGGTGGTAAAACTGGTAACTGCCTACTCACATCTTCGTTATTGGAGTCCCATAAAAATTTTAGGTACTCATAAATTCATTCCATACACCTTTTAGATTTGAAAAAAGAATGCATGTATACCTTGACTATTGAGGGTTGATAAATACATTTATGTGGTCCAAAATTTGGTTATATGCAATATAACCAAGGTGCTCAAAATGTGGGCCAAGGTGTTCAGATTTGCACAAAGGTGTCCAAAATTTGAAGAAAGGTGTTCAACATTTGTAAGTCACTCATGTTAAGTGTTCCCAAGTTGCCAGGCCTGTTTTCAGAAGGTAGAGAATTTGTATATAGCACGGTAAGGTAATCGGATAATGCGATTAGGCCATAAGAAGTAGATTCTTGGTTTTGCGTCCCCTTGCTTGCACGATTTTGAGTAAATCAAAAAACAAACACATCAAAATAGCAATCACAAGGTTCTGAAAGAACCATTGTATTTCTTCAATCAGAATCAGATGAAATGGTGGATAATTTGATATGCCTCAAAATTGACAGTGTTATTGATTACTTTGGCATACATTGTGTATTTTTTTATTTTGTACCCTTGAATAATAGATGTTTAAAAATATATAAGATGTGTGTTTGTTATCACTGCAAATTGGTATGTCATCCCTTTTTTTGCCCATAAAATGTATTCATTTCTCAGCAAACAAGTTTGTGTTTTTTCTTGAGTTTCTGTCTATTTGTTTTCTTTGTACCCTTGCATGATGAGGATTTTGCCAGGACGCAAAACAAAGAATCTACTTTTTATGGTCTTATGGAAAAAATTAAAAATAATCACAATGGCCTGATGTTACTCACGTCGAGAGCTACCATGTTAGATTTTGAAAGTATAGCTATACTTTCAAAATCTAAGTAGCTCTCGACGGGAGTAAGCCTGATCCATGTTGCAGGTGCGTGCCTGCTTCATATCTGTGTTTTGGTTCAAAGGTCAAATCAATGACGAAACTTTTGTTGAACCAATCAACTCGCTGAATTTAGTCACGTGACATCACAGCTGGCCAGATATTCAGAAATTTACGAACACCAAAACACATTGATGTAATTCTTTCCACATTTTTACGTTTTAAAGGATGTTTTAATGCGCGGATTCAACTGTTATTGTTAATGGATAGACCTGACACATCTAGAAATGATATGGGATAATTAAATGGGGATTACTTAGTGATACTAGCACGTAAATCGTAGTTGATAATATCATTATACAAAAGTCGAAAACAACCATCGTTGAATTTGGATGACAGAGCAGATGTTGATGAGTGAACATAGCTGTGGTTTTTAGTGCATCCTTTGATTGTATCCAGGAAGGAAATCATGGGGTTCTTTCACCAGCTAAAGATTCTATTGTGGAAAAACTTTACTTTGAAGAAGAGAGCACCAGTAAGTAGTTGATGACATAAGTCTTTATTATAGATCTACATCTAGTCGTGACTAAATTTGGTTAGTGGTGAAAATTTCAAATTTCCTTTCATTCCCATACTTACCAAAGATGTTATCCAAAGACTGGTGTAAATGAAATAATTGTATAATGTTCAACATATTGACCATGTTTTTATTTATACCACCCGTATCACATACGGATCCAGGATTTTATGCTAGAGGGGCTAATATATCCCAAAAATGCCCGAGAATGAATGTCAAAAAGCTGTATAGCCTATATAGTGTGTATTTGTAATTTGTAATATAGTGCCCATAAAAGAACATAGGGCTCCTTAAAGGAGGGGTTCCTGACTGGGGGATCCTGAGTCGCAGTCATATAAGACTTTAACATTACCACGGTCATGACAGGCCTTGCAATATAATATAGCATTGTCACGGTTATACCAGGCTTTCACAATAACACTACCACGGTCATGGCAGGATCCTTGCGAAACTTAAAAACACTTAATAACATGGTGACGGTTGTATCAGGCATACGTTTTGCAATAGATAGCATCTGCCTTCAATGGTGGTTAGCAAAATACAATACAAACCTACACATACAAAATTGGAAAGGGAGGGCCGGACTTTCTGTTTAGATTTTACTGTAGTCTGTATCTGATAGACCATGGTCATTCAACTAGACTAGTCAAGACTAAGAAATCCCTCTTAATATTTCCATTTCAATTAAAAAAAATTCAGACAAGAATAGAGGATATCGCCTAGATTTTACTAAGGCAAATTTTTCTGAAAGTGTTTTTTATGGTTTAGTTATTGAAGTGTATCCTCATTAGAGTTTGACTCTAGAAACTTGATGCTGAGATGATGGTACAGTTAACTTGTTGGTCTGAGGTTTGGGGAGGATGATGGGAAAATATTGGCCTCAAGTTTGGAAATCATTAAGAGAATGGAAACTACAAAGTAAACCGATTTTGGGTTCGAGAATTGTTAGCGTGGCACCTATTATTAGCAGAGCCTTAAACTCCCTATAAACTTAAGTGAATGATAAGGGTAAAATTAGGTTACCATGGCTTATTTTGTAAAGTGGCACTTAAAAATGCACTCAATTCATGATCATTCAACTAAATTTGCAGAGAACGGAAAAATGTAGACTGCTTATAGAAATATAGAATTTTGAGTTTTTCAAATATTGCCCTTTGTGCTTTCTCAACTTGTTTTTCAAATTCCTTAATTGTTTTTTATATAAAAAAAGCCAGTATATGATAAGTTGAGTTCATCGGATGTAAAATTAAACAAGTCTGCGCTTGAAAAATTCTGTTCCTTAGGTGTATGTTCTTAATTATAGTAATGTAATTTGAGATGAACACAATGTGCGTCATTTGTACTTTTTTCAGTTGGTCATAAACCAGTAATCAGCCATTCCACACGTTCACATACATACACATGTGCTATATATCATCATGAGAAATCATGGCTTTCTATTAGCTTCTCTATAGAATGCCATGAGATACTTAGAGCTTACTTTCGATCTGGCCTTATACAGTTTTCTTGAAAATGTTGATGACCAATCAAATCAATTACAGAGATCAACTGACCAATTAGATTGTTTCTTCACCTTAGCCTTGGGCCATAAAACTAAATGAGTATACAACTTAAGATAGAGTATCTAACTAATGACAGTGGCAATACAATATTATGTAACACAATGTAATGTTCAACAATGAGGGCAATAGATACATGATAAACATCACACTTAGTATGCTGTACCCCTCCCATTTGATGATACTAGATGGCAAATGGTAACCAACTAAATCAGAGCATATTTGGGTAGATGCAAATAATCATAATTTCTGGGTAAAGCATCAACAATAGTTAACCATTGAAAAATTGCATGACATTATATTCTTTGTAGAGATATTTTGTAAGTCTAAATAAAGAAAATTATGTAAGTATTAAGTATGATGTCTTTCACAGACCCTTTGTGTGGTGTTAAGTGTATGTTAATACACCACCATTCAAAGGTTACCACCATGCGTCCCCCCACCCCCACCCTTGGTGCGGGTCAGGAGTGTCAAGAATTTGTTATTGTTAATGAACAATTCAGTCATGTGATTTGTCTCAAAATCCTTGAACTGTCAAATTCTTGAAACTGTCAAACTTTAGGCTATCAAAATATTCTTCAATCTATCAAATCCTTTGAGTTGTTCTGTAGGTACATAAAAGGAAGGAACAGAAGCAAATGAGAGACTAGGGAATTACATACATTCTGCAAAGAGCATGTTTGACGAAAAATGAAAATATTTAATCTGCTGTACATTGACTCATCGTTTTCCATCAATTAACTTTATCTGACAGTTTAGCTAACAAGGTTTTAGCATATCCTAGTTGACTTTTCGATGATATATATCATTCCTAATGTTTCATAATTTCTAATCTCATTGCCATAAAAGTGTTTTCACGATCATATTGACTCTGTAGCCCTTGCGCAAGATCCAAGATGAAGAAACTCTAATATATTAGATAGTAATACAGAAAACATTAAATTACATGCCACTGTATGATACACATTTCTAAAAGCTGGTAGCAGCTGTGTATATTCTTCCTAATTGTCGGAATGATCACTTCTTCATAATTACTTTCACAGAGAATAGGACTGCCACTAAATTGAATTGCCACTCATCCTTTTTGTACTCTTAAATTAAAATAAAAAAGTCAATACCATTCTTACTTATCAGAATCCCTCTTTTATCTGTGCGTTTGTGAGAGATATTAAAGGCTGTGCTGTGGAACCCTCTTGTTGTGCCTTTACTGGTAAATGTGTATCATAAATAATAAAATTTATAGGATGATGCGAGGACAAGATCAGGTGTTTTGATAGGTTATTTGATTTTTAGTCCTTTAAAGATGTGCTAATGTTCCCAGCATTGAAACAGTTATGTGCAAAAAAATTTCTTGATAGAGAATTTGAAGAATTGATTATGAATTATTCTGACTTAAAGGCTTTGTGACTCCCAGTCCCTACACCTCTGGACGGACGAGAAGAAATTGGAAGCAGGATATACATTTAAGACCAATCTTAGGCATAATACATGGGTAAATTGTATTTTACACCCAGTTGAGGAAACATCTTGAAGAGCCCAATTAACGCTTAATTGAGGTTGGAAAGCTGGCGATATTAAAGATAAAATGGCCTCATTCATCATTTTCAAATGGACTTTCTATATGATATTATACTATTTAAGTTCCTCATCAAATGTCAAGACAATTATGAAATACTCCGATACTAAATTGCTTTAATATTTTTTAATAGCTGCATTCGATTGTGTTGACCGTTGTTTGGCAAGATGTTATTTGTGGAACATGTATAATTAGACCTCAGACCTATCTAAAGGATTTCCCAAGAGGGCCAACACCCCTCCCCTTCAGACTGGCTTGGGCTTCTATAGTATCTCTGAATGAGACTTCTTGTGGCAGGGATGGATCTGGGAACCAACAAGGGAGGGGCCAAAATTTCAGGTCATAGAAAAGATTTTGGGCCCTTAAAACCCAAAAGTGGGCCAAAATTTTGAAATTTTGAGGCCCATTTTCTTTGGAATTTGGCCTGAAATTAAAAAATAAAGCCATAAAAGGCCGTGTAATGATCAAAAAGGACCAAAAAGGCCTACTTTTTGGAGCCTGAAGGCCTTTTTGGCTCAACATTTTTTTGGGCCCAATTTTTTTTCTGGGCCCACCAAAGGGGGGGGGCCCAAGATCCGCCAGTGTGTGGATAACTCTCATAGATATATTGGGTGTGTCCATACCATTGTTATTGTTTACAATAGATACAAAGTGGAGGCTCCCATTTGCATGATTGCATCAACAACTCTCTGCAATAAATACACTGTATATTACAACAATACTTTAACTGCATAGTAGTTCTGCATGATTTTGACAAGATGAAATATTATTTTACCACTGAGTCACAATGGTAATTTCTTCTACAATATGCCAACTAATTGCTTAGCATTTACTTATGTTTCACCTTGTTCTATATTTCAGCTGGTGGTACTGTTTGAGATCTCCATCCCGCTGGTCTTGTTTGTGATTGTCCTTCTCATCAGACTGAAGCAGAGGCCTACAAAGCAGGCAGTGTGTAAGTACAAATGGGTTCCTACTTGAAACAATTCTTGTGAATTTTCCCTGTCTTATTATGAACCATGTATATTACATATCAAAATGAACACATAGATGACTGGTTTATATTCCAGTTGTCTCTCTTGTTGTAGCTATGACATTATTTGAAAATATAATTTTATGAATCATTGAAATTCATAATAATATTTCCAAGAAACGAGCCCCTGAGACAGGTGTTTCTCAGGTACAACATATGTTTTCTATTTGTAAACAGTGTTGTACCTATCAGAAACTGATAATTTAATTCAACTTAGTTCAGTAAATGTCTGCAATGATAAGTTAAAGTGACCAACTAATCCCACACTATGATTTGCAGGCTTCATTCAAACCTCTGTAGTGTGAGAGAAGATGGGAGCTTGATACATAACAAAATATCCATTCTACAAAGCATGCATTAATATTACACAAGTCTCCTATTCTCCCAAAAAATGGATTCAAATTTTTTTTATCTATTGTAATATTTTTTTTTATTTCTTTGACTAATAATTAAGAAAAATAGGTATTACAGATGGATCTCTGTTTTAAAAAAGATCTAAATTAAATAATGCTCCATTCTGTGATATCATGAGAAAAGCTGATTTATCCGAAAATTATAAGAGATTGACAGACAGACGGACAGAAAGACAGACAGATGGATGGACTCATGAATGGATGAACGGCAGTTACATAGGCTCACAAATCAAAATGTTTCTCTATTGTGACACTACCCTACCCCCATACTGTAGCCTGTATTTCTTCATAAGGGATACACTACAGTGAATTTGAAAATGGAGCAGGTCTTCTCTATCTATAGGACTTTTCTGGTAATAATACAATTGCAAACTACTCAATGAATCTCTACAATCACACGGTACTAACTCACTGGGGCGTATCGAAACCAAAACGCCCCGCAAACCGTTAATTTGAATTTCAAACCTACCCTTTCTTTAGAAATGATTTGATTGTGAGTCTCATAGTACACCATTTTTTATCACACCATCGGTGGGATATAGTCGTCATACTGGTCGTAGTCGTGATCGTGGTCGTGATGGTGATCCTCCCGCTTTTTGTCATCGCCGTTTAAGGAAAACTGCTCATCAGATTTTCTCCAAATTTGCAGAGATGATAGAGCATATGAAGTACTAGAGCTGATTAACTTTTGGGTGGCCATCTTGTTTTCTGGCGGCCATTTTGAAGGTTTTTCGAAAAATCTTGTCATCGCCATTTCAGGAAAACCGCTCATTGGATTTCCTTCAAATTTACACAAATGATAGAGGATATCAAGTACTAGAGCTGATTAACTTTTGGGCGGCCATCTTGTTTTCTGGCAGCCATTTTGAAGATTTTTCGAAAAATCTTGTCATCGCCATTTCAGAAAATCCGCTCATCGGATTTCCTTCAAATTTACACACATGATAGAGGATATCAAGTACTAAAGCTGATAAACTTTAAGGCGGCCATCTTGTTTTCTGGTGGCCATTTTGAAGGTTTTTCGAAAAATCTTGTCATCGCCATTTCAGGAAAACCACTCATCGGATTTCCTTCAAATTTACACAAATGATAGAGGATATCAAGTACTAGAGCTGATTAACTTTTGGGTGGCCATTTTGTTTTCTGGTGGCCATTTTGAAGGTTTTTTGAAAAATCGTGTCATCGCCGTTTCAGGAAAACCGCTCATCGGATTTCCTTCAAATTTACACACATGATAGAGGATATCAAGTACTAGAGCTGATTAACTTTGTGGCAGCCATCTTGTTTTCTGGTGGCCATTTGAAGTTTTTTCGAAACATCTTGTCATCGCAAATTTAGGAAAATTTGTAAACATAATAGGAGAACAGTTTTCCTGGTTCATAGTGTCTGCCTATTTGATGGTGTGATCTCGTTCACGTCCTGTGCCTTGTCTTCAAACTTGTTCCATTAAAACCTTCACAGAAATACCTTTCATTCGAGACATTGCTTTTGTGTCCCCAGATGTGAGAAGATGCAAATCTTCAGAGACTTCAACCAAAAGCCTCGATATATCGCCAGTTCTTTTATTATTCTCCCCTATATTTTGCACAAGGACTCCCATTACAACCCTCCATCTCTGCATCAACATATTTATTACATTAAACGCACCAATTTCCAAAAGTCCTATGCATCTGTTCGAAATTGATCAAAATGCCCTGTTCTCTTCCAAAACGCCCCCTTGGATGAAACAATGCATGTTGTTTTTTAACTGTATAATTATATGTAAATGTCTTGTAATTGATTTTGTGAGGAAACCAAGTGTTTGGTTTGAAACACAATAAAATCTTGAATCTTGAAAATCTATACATCTTATCTATACACATTTGTAGTCATAGACTCTGCGGGGCATTTTGGAAGACAACGGGGCGTTTTGGTCAATTTCGAACAGTTGCGTGGGACTTTTTGAAATTGCTGCGTTTAATGTAATAAATATGTTGATGCAGCGATGGAGGGTTGTAGTGGGAGTCCTTGTGCAAAATATAAAAATTCAAATTAACGGTTTTGCGGGGCGTTTTGGTTTTGATACGCCCCGGAGAGTAAGGACCGCGTGACAATGTAAAGTAGAACATTTAGAATATATGTAAAATCTGTAGTATTCCTTCATAAATATGAAAATAACAAGCTTCCTGCATTTGCAACTTCACTGTAGCCTTATGTATTTTAAATACAGGCTACAGTATGGGGGTTGGTAAGTGTGATTGTTAGATTTTTAATATAATGTAATCATGTTATGATACAAGATGTTAATAAAAGTTATATAATGCATATACCCAGGAATATTTACAATATTTTTAGATCAATATCTAATACTTTCCACTTGTCAATCTATTGCATAACCAATGAGGAGAATTTGTAAACTCTCATTAAATACCTAATTAGCTGATTACCTACTTATCTATTGAATCAATCAATGAACATTGGTGTCTACTCTTGCTTTATGTTGAAGTGTTCTAGGAATATCAGTCAGTGTAAGCACATGTTTTGATCAGTAAATATGCCATAGTGAATTCCTTTACAGGGTGCTTCAAAGAGGTTATTTAATGGGAGGTTTTTGATACAGGGTATATCTGATGGAAATACAATTTTATCCCATACTTGGACATGTTACGGGTACATAAAGCCGGTTTGTAAAAACTTATATTTTCATCAGCGGGCAGATATAGCTTTACATCCCGCTCCGAGCGGGCAGATATCATAATCGCTGTTCCCGTATTGGTTCTTTTTTGTAACGTTCGCATACTGTAAACAATCACCGGATCTGTTTGATGCTTTAAAGAGGGGAAGGAGCAGTATACCCCGTTAATTATCAAAGATTTGAACAGGAAAAGAAACAAGAATACAAAACTGGACATGAATATTTTAAAACAATTCTACAGTTGGTTGCAAAGTTTCTGAACTGGCCAATTGAACAATGTGATTGGTATGGGATAAACAGATCATCCTATAGTCGGTTCAGGATATTTGGATTATCCCTTGGCCAATATAATATATCTATCTACCCTCGAGGTTCAGGATATTGGGATTATCCCGAGGCCAATATAATATATCTGCCCGAGGGCCGTAGGTCCCGAGGGTGGATATATTATATCGGCCAAAGGATAATCCCAATATCCTGAACCGACTATAGGATGATCTGTTTATCCCATACCACTTTGCAACCAACCGTGGAATTATTTTAAAATATTTATGTCCAGTTTTTATGTCACCACCAAAAGTGGTGACATATTGTTATGGTCTCCGTTTTTATGTCACCACCAAAAGTGGTGACATATTGTTATGGTCTCCGTTATTTTGCGACGGCGGTTGGAGGTTGGCGTCCGGCGTCCGGCGTCTGTAACAATTTCTTACAACTTCCTATAACTTAACAAATACTGTTTAGACTGACTTCAATTTTTTTCTAAATCATCTACATGTTCTCAGAAGTTCAAATCTGACTTTAGATTTGACATTTGACCTTCAATGGCCTTCTCAAGGTCAAAAAGGTCTTTTTTCAACTTGCTTCACATTGACTAAATTTTTTTTCAAAATCATCTACATGTTCTCAGAAATTCAAATCTGACTTTAGATTTGACATTTGACCTTCAAATCTGACTTTAGATTTGACATTTGACCTTTAATGACCTTCTCAAGGTCAAAAAAGGTCAAAAAGGTCTGTTTTCAACTTGCTTCAAATTGACTAAATTTTTTTTTCAAAATCATCTACGTGTTCTCAGAAATTCAAATCTGACTTAAGATTTGACCTTCAATGACCTTCTCAAGGTCAAAAAAGGTCAAAAAGGTCTGTTTTCAACTTGCTTCAAATTGACTAAAAAATTTTTTCAAAATCATCTACATGTTCTCAGAAATTCAAATCTGACTTTAGATTTGACTTAAGATTTGACATTTGACCTTCTCATAAGTCAAAAAAGGTCAAAAAGGTCTTTTTTCAACTTGCTTCAAATTGACTAAATTTTTTTTCAAAATCATCTACATGTACTCAGAAATACAAATCTGACTTTAGATTTGACATTTGACCTTCAATGACCTTCTCAATGTCAAAAAAGGTCAAAAAGGTATTTTTTCATCTTGCTTCAAATTGACTAAATTTTTTTTTCAAAATCATCTACATGTTCTCAGAAATTCAAATATGACTTTAGATTTGACTTTAGATTTGACATTTGACCTTCAGTGACCTTCTCAAGGTCAAAAAGGTCTTTTTTCAACTTGCTTCAAATTGACTAATTTTTTTTTCAAAATCATTTACATGTTCTCAGAAATTCAAATCTGACTTTAGATTTGACATTTGACCTTTAATGACCTTCTCAAGGTCAAAAAAGGTCAAAAAGGTCTGTTTTCAACTTGTTTCAAATTGACCAAATTTTTTTTTCAAAATCATCTACATCTTTTCAGAAGTTCAAATTTGACTTTACAAGTTCTCAGAAGTTCAAATCTGACTTTAGATTTGACCTTTGACCTTCAATGACCTTCTCAAGGTCTAAAAGGTCTTTTTTCAACTTGCTTCAAATTTACTTAATTTTTTTTTCAAAATCATCTCCATGTTCTCAGAAGTTCAAATCAGACTTTACATTTGACATTTGACCTTCAATGACCTTCTCAATGTCAAAAAAAGTCAAAGAGGTATTTTTTCAACTTGCTTCAAATTGACGAATTTTTTTTCAAAATCATCTACATGTTCTAAGAAGTTCAAATCAAACCTTCTTAAGGTCAAAAGGTATTTTCCAACTTGCTTTAAATTGACCAAATTGTTTAAGGTGGTGACATTTTGTCATGTTAATGCCTTGTGTATTCTTGTCCCTAGCGGATTTTCCTGTTCAAATCTTTGATTATCAATGGGGCATACTGCTCCTCCCCTCTTTAAAGCATCAAATAGTTTAGATCGCGATTGTCTGCGTTTTTCTCCATTGTCGTTTACAGTATGCGAACGTTACAAAAAAAAAACAATACAGGAACAGCGATTATGACGTAGCGGGCAGATATACTATATCTGCCCGCTCGGAGCGGGACGTAAAGCTATATCTGCCCGCTGATGAAAATATAAGTTTTTACAAACCGGCTTTATGTACCTGTAACACGTCCAAGTATGGGATAAATAAGGATATGTACCAAGTCTACTTACAAATTTACATGTAGATGAATATGTATGCACTAGTACCAAAGGGATAGGGCCAACAATTGTAACACAGCAAGAAAAAGAAAACATCCAAAAGTACACTAGTCATAAGGAAAATGAACCCCACTATCCCAAACCATGATCTAACGTGAAAAGAAACAATGTGTAATACCTCCCTCCCCCACCATTCAAGTATCATTATCACAATCCGAGACCATAACATCAATGGACATTTCATTCATACTGAAGTCATCAAATAATACATGTTAAAGAATAAATTTAAATTGATAACCAATACTCATGACAATAATGGATAGTTGATAGATAATAGCTTTTTAAGAAGCGAAGCCAAATTAATGCATTTGGGTTGAGGTTATCAATACTGAATTATAGGTCAGTTGTCATGCCATTATTCATTCTGATGTTCATAGCATCTCTCTCATTGTGCATCACAGATGTTGTCTAGAAGGATAGAGATGGATATGGCATGGCTTACCACGAATGTCATTATCCATCACAATACAAAGTGTCTAGTGTCTCCATAATAAAGACAACAATCAATTCTGCTATTCCATGTACATCATTCAATCGTTGCAGCTAGACCTTGAACTGAAATAATCCATATTGACGTAATTGAATAGTTTTAGTGCTGGTGCAAGTATGGGCCTTTTAGATGTAAGAGATACAGATTCATAACAAAATGTGATAACAAAAAAATTTATGAGGTTATAAATATCATTATATGCATTAATACATTTATGGTATTATTGATAGTATTTATAATTGATTTCCCTGATTATTTCCATATTAAAATATTAGATGAGCAAGCCAGGGACTTGTTTTATTTGTAGAAATACTATTTACAAAAATACTAATCAGCAAAAATGAAAAATGATCTATTCTCTAGTCTAATGGTTGTCCCTATTTAACCTTCAATGTTTTGCAAAAATCAGCTCTAACAAATAATGATCGATTAAACCTTGACGATTGAGGGGTTTCTTTAGTGAAGAGCAAGAGAGAGAGGAAATGTAGAAAATGAAAAGAAAATAGAAATAAAATCATTTCTTAAATGAATTCACTTTTTTACAATATGTTCAATCATACAGGCAAGAGTGTATTCATGGAGTTGTTGATATTATCTATGAGAGTGCTTAGTATGGATCAATGGACATAGAGGCATTACAAATTGCAAATGGAAAAACAATGTCAAAACAACAAGCAATATGTTATCTGTCTTAAGCCTAGACTCTTTTTCCCTCCTTGCTAAAGCCGCATGATTATAAGATTAGAGACGTTCAGAAAGGTCTAATTGTGAATTATTGCTTTTTTTTGGGAGATTACAATTTTAACAATTACATAATTTGTGAATAATTTGTAAAATGGTGGCATGGGGGTGAAGATTTGGAGCAAGCAAGGGTTCAAGTCTTCTACCAACTCCCCTGTGGCCTAGTTCTTATGGCTGGCACACAACTAGTCATATAAATCCGACCGTTGTATGCTGTTCTTCGATATTCCTTGTTCTTATTTGGATATTTATTTTTTATCATTTTCTTTGCATACACAGTCGTAGATATTATATGGAACAAATTGCGGTAAACGCTTTTCTGGCCTGTCTTGGTAAATATAGTTACCATACTAACCAAAGTCACACAAATTATCACGTAATTATTTAGCTCCAACATCAAAGTGTTAAATCTTACCTTAGACATGTAAAACGCTTGATAATTGACGAAATATAATCAATTGAATTATATTTTCATTATCGCCCGCCATGTTGCTGAATGTTGTTTCCGGTAGTCTAAATGTATAACATGTATCGAAACGGAATCATAATTATTTATTACACAGAGATCGATTCCAAAGCTGTTCTCTGCCACTTATTACTTTTCTCATTTTGAAACAATAACTTTTCCAAATAACTTCCCTTCTCAACGACACTGCTTCCCTTTCAACTGAATATTTGTGTAACAAAAACTTATGATTTCGTTTGATATAGTTTTACATCTAGACTATCAGATTAACCCGGAAGTGACCTTGGTAGGCAAAATGAGAAAATTTTAAAATTTAGCAGCATGCTTATATTTCTTCAATTACCAAGCGTCTTACATGCCTAAGGTAAGATTAAATACTTTATAGTTGAAGCAAAGAAATTAATTTATCATTTGTGTGAATTTGGTTGGGTAGACATGCCAGGAAAGCAATTCCCGCAATATACAAGCGCTAGTGTTTATGACCCTCGTATGCAAGAAAATAAGAAAAATAAATATCCAAATCAGAAAAAAATAACAACAAATAACATCATACGAGGGTCAGATTTATATGACTAGCACACAACATTTCCTGCCCCCAATGCTAGAATATATGGGGCTGTGGGGTGTGAATATATGTGAACAGAGACTTGTTGATATATAGAAATTATTTTCAAGACTAATTAACAATGTGGCAGGCAGACAGTACGGATTAATAAATCATGACTTATTGTTAATTAAAGTCTCAAGTCTGTATTTGTAGATTGGTTTCTTTGACTTATTATTGACCAGAAAGCTGTAAGACAGCTGTTCAATTTGCAGTATTATTACGATATTCTCTCATTCTAGATCCTGGCAATTGTATCCTGTAATAGCAAAAAAACGTTGTGCTAAGTCAACTATGATTCATATGCCTTTGATCGTGTCATGACCGTGGAAACGATAAATGCTAGTTGATGCTAATTATGAAATAAGTCATACGCAGTTAAGCCATGGTTAATAGAAAGTTCAGCAAATCATTCGTAATAAATATTGTCTTGTGGCATTTATAGAACATATACAGTGATTTTTCATCCGTAGGGAATGTGTTATTTATTGTATTATTCAGATTTTGAAGATATGAAAAAATTGGAAGCCTCTTAATTCTCACCATTCTGTTGCTCATCATTTCTTACTTTTATTGCAACTTGCAAGAGTTTTTAGAAAACATCTAATTGAGCTCTAATTATGTACCTAACTCAAAATCAAAATACTGTTAAACATAGATTGTAATTATTAGTTAGTAAGCCTATTCATAAGTCAAACAGATAATGAAACCGAGGGCATTCAACCACACATGTTTTTTCAGTTCATTTATTTACATCGTCATTATGCATGAATCTTTTTTTTTTTTTAAATGTTGCTTAAAGATACTGACCTCTTCTATGTTTCAGTTAACTTTGGGTTACTGTAAATTGGGTTGATTTGGTGCTATTTTATTACCATTTTTAATTTGCTTCTTAAAAGATAGCTTCGTTCACACTCTAAGTTTAAGAAAAACCTCTGAACTTGCTGGTCCAACCAGAGCTTGTTGTCGTCAGAAGAACAATTTTCTTTTTATGGTCATTTCATCTGATGTAATAGTTTAGTGCTATCCAGCATTGACTAACATTAAACATTATTTAAGCATGTTTACTTAATCTTTGATAACTCAAATACCAGTGGACTGATTTGGTTCAAATTTTATATCCTGATGTCTAGGAACACAAGAGCTCTGCTTTTTCAAGATGGTAGCTAATTTTCAATTGCATCATGAAAAATGTCTGAATATTTCCAGCGTACCATCATACACGCCCCCTACCATCAGCAGGTGTGATCTCAATCATGCAGGCCTTCTGTGACAATGGAGTAAAGGATGAGCATGGCTTCTTGAATTACCCAAACTCAACGTAAGTGTATTGTATAATACAGTAGTATGTAATTATGAATTTGAAAATAAAGAATTTTCAATCTACTGTATATGGTAAGTAGAAAAAGTTATATTTCATGCCAACATTTCCCTGTTTGATTGGGTTAAATATTCCTTTATCAGCCACATTATTCCATCAGGATCTCTTAATTAACTTTCAAGGCTTGATTCTGAGAGTCATAAACTTTAGTCAATGATAACACAATTTCAGACATACCCAGGGGCTGATGGTGCTCAATTAAGATCTCGTATCTATAGATATTCATATTTTGTGATTGTCAAGATAAAAATTTAGTTTTGTCTTATAGAAATTGTCAATGACAAGTTTAATCCATCAATGTATAAATTCCAAATGTGCAATTTTAAATTTCATTGAGAGGGATGTGTTAAAAATCTGTTAAAATTTTTGTTTCTATTGATTTTGATTTTGTGTTTGGTGTTCAGCATCTGTAACAAATGGCAGGTGGTGACATTTTGTATGTTAATGCCTTGCATATTAGATGAAGTGATTTTGTGGAATGCATTTACAGTATCGTAATATTGACCTGGTCTATTAAAAGGACACTGTCTCTAAAATACACAATTTCTCTAACAGGCTGCCATTTCCACCATCAAAATGAGATGACACGAAGGTTCTTTTCTAAAAATTGTGAAAAACTGCTTACTTAGTGAGGAAGTGACCTGGCAAATTATTCAAGGCGCATGCACTTTTGATTTCTAAAATGCAAGCTATTCGCTTATTATATAAGCAACTTTTATAGAATTTTGGTGTAAATTGAGGTTAGAAGTAGGCTGTGAGCAATTCCCAATAACTTGATGTAATCATACTGTAAGTTAATTCTAGATGAGCTTCTTGTAGTTTATGGTACAATCAGAGTGTGCATATTCCCCTGAATGAACACAGTCTCTGGGGACTTACAATCTGTCAACATTCCTTAATATAAGCATTTTGACAATTTATCAATACCAGAGATTCACCATTATTGATTCAAGAATTTAGTTCATTGAACCGTGACATTTTGTAGAGTGCCAACATTCCTGAAACAGTTTGACAATGTATCACGTCACAACAACTTCTTCAACCCAGGATTCAGCCCAGAAGAAATGGACACCATACCTGACATGTATCGTAGCATTATAGAGGATCCAATAGCCATCCATGACAAGTTCACTCATGCTCAAGGTATCTTTTTCAAGTTCTAATTTATTTATTATCCACAGAGAGATTGAGTTTGTTAATTTGAGCTTAATTTCCATGCTTTTTAAGTTTAGATACAGTGTACAAACAGATTTTCAGATGAATGCTTTTAAGCTCTTTTCAAAATCTCAATTGGGTACACTAACCATTTGTTTAAATGCTGTGCTGTTTTTAATCCAAGGAAAATGGGCCTTAATCCTCACTTGACCTTGATCTTATGGTTGCAGATCTGAATTGTCTGTGAATCCTGGTGGAAAAACTAAAATAAATATGTTTCACACTCATTCTTTACTGAATTTTGATATATCAAATTATTTAAGAGTTAGAATCTAGGATCTTTTCATTTCATTCTCGATTGATGGATAGTGGGTCCTGGTTCAGGATTTTTCAATTTAGCCCATTTATGCCATGAATAGAAAATATAAAAACAGTTCACCCCATTGAAAGATATTGATTAAGCATGTATGTCCTTACTTGATACAAATGCCAGACTGTGTGTGGTTTGCCTTGTTAATTGCTAGATAATCATTTAGTAAGTTATCAAGTTCGCTGGAATAATTGGACCACTCCAAGTTGAATTAGATGTGAATATTAATATTGTATTTATATTTATTTATGATAAGATAATTGCAGGAAGCACATTTATTCCTTTTATCCTTTAAATGCATTGCCCTATATGTACATACACGAGTTTTGGGTAACCCAAAAGTAGGTTTACAATTATTCAACAATCTCTCTGTAAACCATATACTTGCCTTTTGGCCACTCTCTTTACAGTTTTTATGTCACCACCAAATGTGTTGTTATGACATATTGTTATGTGGCTGCAGTTTGCATCTGGTATTCAGTGTCTGTTACAAATGGCAGGTGGTGACATTTTGTATGTTAATGCCTTGTCCTACACTTGGTATAAGCTCCTAAATTAGACTTTGATCAAGCCTATATCCAATCCACCAGACTATACAGTCAGAATGCAGCAATATTATATAGTATTACATACCCAGCGAAGCATTTGTATTGAAGTCAATGGAGCTGAAGGTCGGCTATATATTCCTGTATAGCCGCCAAACCTTTTACCATGACAATCTTATGACGTCATCGGGACGTCATGTTTCATTTCTTCCTAATTTCACTTGCACACAGACACGTGGCGTCATTGATATAACGTAGCCATGATATAAAAGTGTGTAATACAACAGTTATGTCCGTATCATTGAATATATGCCTTTGGTGTGTCTGTCTCGCAAGCTCGGGCTATATTGGTGACAGACCTTAGGCATATATTCAATGATAGGGACATAACTGCTAATTAATCACTATAACTAAGCTCACATCCAATTGGCATCTAAACTCCCATGCTATAAACTACATTGAAGATTATTAAGATCGTATGAACATCAAAAATGTAAATTATCTACAGTAGTAAGAGGGTAGTGTGGCCAGCTAATGGAGATCCAGGGTAACCAAAAATGATGACATATTGTCACCAGTTTCCCACTTTTTTGTGGACATTGTTTGATTGTTAGTGTTTGGTGGTTGATGTTTGGCAGACTGCGTTTGTAACAAATGACACATTTTGAAATTTGAAATTAATTTCATAAATATTTTCAACTAAAATTATAGAAATGAAGGTAGTAATATCCCTCATTTAAGCTCATCTGTCTACATGGGCCTCTTCAATTAAAGAACTAATTAAAGATTTAAAGAACAATGTTTTAGTCACTATTATAATGCACATTGTTTAACATACTTTTATAATGAAACATAATATATGCAAACAAAATCATGAAATCATCGCAGTGCTACATGCATTAATATTTCAGGTCAAAGTATAATTTATCAATCAAGCTTAATCTGTAAGTACCATGTACCGCTGTAGCACTGTACCATTACGTCACTGTTACAATCTCTTGTTGGAACGACCTTATAATTTATTTACTGCATTTGTGTTTTAGGCTGTTCAATGCCCAAAGATAATATTACTCATTAAACTATTTTTTACATTTTTATTTGGGCATAGAATATTTTATATTTTCTGTAATATACTCCATTTTATATAAAATGTTTGGATGCGTAGAATTGTGAGTTTTCATGAGAGAGAGCATAATGTCACAGGGACCTGTTGAGTGCAAATGCATTCTAGTCAATAGTCATAAATCTGGCAAAGTAGTGTTTAATTCATAAGATCTTGCTTAGTAAATCCTTTAATGTGAACCCCTCAATAAATTCATCCTATCAAGAGCCAGAAGACTCTGGCCATTTCATAATGCAAGGGGGGGGGGGGCAATACTGGACTGACATTATATCAACATGATATCTTTTTCTAATTATCAATGTAATAATAGGGAGTTTAAGCTCGCAATGTTTTTCACAACCTAAACTTGAACAGAAAATATTTAAGTGATGCATTTGTATGGGTGATTGGTCGTACATATAGGTTGGGGTTTTGATTTTATATGCAAGCTTAAACTCCCTATTATATATCTTTTTCTGATTATCAATGTAATATTATATACAGTAATACCTATAAAATGGAACACCTCTTTAACATAGAACACCTCCACTAGTTAAACACTATTCCAAGTATAACAATTTTCAAGACAAAAGGCATTTCTTTCATACAGGTTTTACTGTACATTGCTATAGTCTTATTAGCTAAGTCATTGCTACTATATATATTGAAATACAAAGGTTATGAATGATTCGCACATCAGCATTCACTGTGCAAAATATTAAATTAATAACTTCTCATTAGTGGATGATTTTTCACCTCTAATATGACCCCTGAGGTTTACTATTAAAACTTCTTTGAATATATAAGCATAAGTGCCAAAGGGAAAGGACGAAAAGTTGTAATGGAACTTAGCAAGAAAAAGCAAACTCTAAGTGCGAACCAGTCAAGAAAAACAGACCCCATATAGCACAAAACCATGATCTAACGTGAAAAGAAACAATGTCTAATACCCCCTTTCCCCCACCATTCAAGAACCAATATCACAATCCAAGACCAGAAGACCAAGGGACATTTCATTTATACTGAAGTCATTACAATACATGTTGAAGAAAAAATGAGAAATTGATATTCAATACTCATAACCTCAAAAATAGTTGCAGATACAAGTACTCATACAAGATAGAGCATTCAGTCTCAAATGATGTGGGATAGATAAAATCCAGTCTCCAAGTCCATAGGCATTTCAAAGGGTCACAATCCATTCACAAAAGCCGTCGCCATAATCCATAAATCACAATAATTCACGATGAGATCTTTATGTGTAAGGAGTTTTGCATTAAGCCCTCATGGAGGCGAGAATCACGAGATCTTCATAATAATTAGTTTGGAATTTGAAATATTATTGGACATTCAACATCTAGATGGCAAGCAGGTTGAGCCTCCATGGAAGGAAAAAAGTATTTTTCTTTTCATAAAATTAACACTACAGTGATGTAATATGATAATTATATCTTGTTTTACTAGTATCACAGAATAATATTGGTTCTTAGTAAAGAAATGATGATCAATGATCATGTGATTGCTGGAATTGGAAAAATTCCAACATATGATATTAGAGATATCAGCCTACTACCAGTTCCTTTTTATTGCTAATTATCCCATCGAACGAAGTTCGGAGGGATATAGGGAACGCCTCCGTCCGTCCGTCCGTCCGTCCGTCCGTACGTACGTCCGTCCGTCCGTACGTACGTACGTCCGTCCGTCCGTCCGTCTGTCCGTCCGTCCGGGCGATAACTCAAATACCGTTGGCCCGATTTTGTTCATATTTTGTACACATATACCCTATGGGGGTAGAAGTTCTGCTTGAAAGCCGATTTTCAAAATGGCCGCTCAATTCAAAATGGCGGCCATTTTAGTGCCGATTTTACAGTAATTTAGGTGCAATATGTAAAACTGTAATAGCAATATGTTTTAAATGTAAAAAAATTATGAAGGACATTAATAAAGCTATAAATGTAGACATTAAAGAAGCACATGGCAGCCATCTTGAAAAATGGCGGCCTTTATTCGTTATTTTACGATTTTTGCTATAACTCGAAAAGTAGTGGAGCGATTTTGTTCATATTTGGTATGTGAATACTATAAGCATTGCACCCTGCATAAAGATACTTTTGGTAGAAGGCGGCCATTTTTCAAAATGGCCGCCATTTTAACGTATATTACTTTAACTCGAAAAGTAGTGGAGCGATTTTGTTCATATTTGGTATGTGAATACTATAAGCATGGCACACCGTCCTATGACACTTTTGGTAGAATGCGGCCATTTTGAAAAAAAATTTGAAAAATGGCCACCATTTTTATGTTTTTTACTATAACTTTAAAAGTAGTGAAGCGATTTGGTCATATTTGATATGTGAATACTCATGAGCCTTGCACACTGTCTCATGACACTTCAGATAGTAGGCAGCCATTTTATAAAAATGGCTGTCATTTTTACATTTTTTACTATAACTCGAAAAGTAGTGGAGCAATTTTGTTCATATTTGATATGTGAATACTTTAAGCATGGCACATTGTCTAATAAAACTTTGGGGAGTAGTCAGTCATTTTGAAAAATGGCCACCATTTTTATGTGTGTTATTTTACAAGTACATGTATGCGATTTTTCAAAGATTTTATAGGTGGCTACTTAAAAGCATATTATTTCTTCTGATGATAACTTGGCTAGTGAGCAACCATTTTGAAAATGGTGGCCTTTCTGGTGTGTTGTTTTATGATGTTTGCTATATATTTCGTTTGTAAAAATGCCAGCCATTTCTGTTTGATGGGATTCGCTACGCTTTGGCGTTGCCGTTGTTCTGGTTGCAAAACAGAACATGTGCTGAGTATCAGAATGGGCATAATTTTTTCTTTTTAAGAGAAAATACCCATAAGGTTTCCATCAAAAAATCAATGCAATTGCGAAGTTGATTTTGCTTTGATTTGATACCCCAGAAAACTTTGCATTGATTTCCAAGATAACAAGATCTGTTGACAATCAATCTTTCCACTTTATCAGACATTTTTATGCTCTTTCCAACTTGATTGTCATGATAAATACAATCCTGTATTCTGTTTTTCAATGTCATATATAGTTTCTATAAATAATATATGTTTTTGTGAAATATTCCAATTTCCTTGAACAATTTCTGCTCTTGTTCAATAACTTGTGGAGTTACAGAGTACCATTAACATTTGTGATAAATAATAACCGTCCTATTATCAGTTTTATCACAGGGCAATTTCACCCTTTTAAACTTGTATATTAGGTCAACTTGACCAAGGCAATGAATATATTTTTTATTCCATGTTATACCATCCTTTTCCGCTTGTGTAAATTACACCAATATATCAGGTAAATTAGAAAATGATTGCATTGTTTGAATTATTAATAATGATTGTTATGTTGCCAATGATCACAATGCTAGTGATTTGAATTGTGTTAATGTTGATCATTGAGGTTATTGAGCATTTTGTTAAAAATAATCATTTTTATAATGATTTTGATCATTGAGTTGATATCAATTTCAATATTACTTCTTGTTTCTATGCTTATGTTCACATTTAGCAATTTTGTGATTGCCTTTATCCAGTTACCTATTCTTACTGAAGTGCAAAATTACTATTAGCTGATTAAAAATCCCAAACGTTGGTGAAGTTAAAATAGGTATTTTGAACTTATTTAGAATAATCCTTTAATATTTTATATGTGCCCACTCGGGAAAAATCCTCAACGAAAATTTAACCAATTCCTCCCTTTAGCCATATATTATGAATTCCTAGTTGATGGTGACATTACCTTCCGAAACATTACATTTTATTTCCTCTTAAATTGTATAGAATCCGCTGAATAGTGATTGTCAACGATTTAATTGCGTTGAACATTCAGGCCTTTATTCTCGTATCCGTTATTATTGCTCAAGTCAAAGCTGCATGGATCTTCCTTTGTATCACCAGGATTTATTTTAAAATATAATGATCAGGCACAGGGGAAGACATCGCCATGGTGATAATGTTTATCTTCTAGGGAACAAGTCGTGTTAACCTTATGGTGACATACTCTTCAAAGGGAAAGGTTATCTGCCTGAAGCTACATTTTTCATTTTCAATTACAGAGTAGAACACTCCATCAAAAGTTGTTGAAAGCAATAATCATAAGTTTATTACACATTCATTGAAGAATATTTATCAAAGAAGTGTGAACAGTTTTAAACCATGATTCATCACTCGTCAGCATAATACCAGTTATATCACAGCTTGAGCTCTTAGCTCAATTGGTAGAGCACCAGGCTTTGAATCTGTGGGTATTGGGTTCGATTCTTCCACTTGGCGTTGCATTTATCACACTCTTTTTCATGTCTGTATCTAGCCTTTTACATTATGCTCTGCAGTTGGTCATTTCTCCAGAGACACCTTTGGGTTGCTATAAAAGAATCCTGCACATTCTAAGCTATGTGTATAAAGTAATCGATGCAACTGTTATTTTCAGATTTCTCATTGGACAAGATCTTCTCGCATCCAGTCTCTGTAGATGATTTTTTAATGCATAATCTCAGTATGCCTCGTGATGAGGCTATGGCTCTTATGGCATCAACAGTCAACACATCAGAGGTAAGGGAGATAGATGTAGGGGCTGCATTCAAATTATTTGAGAATCAAAAAAACAAGTTAAGTTTTTGTGTCAAACTGTTTTCACCTATGTGTAAAATAAGATAACCCATATGTAGATGTCTCAATTTTGATAATTTGGCAATGTACACTTTGGAGTAGGGAGGGGACGCCATATAAATCCGAAGGTAAGGAAATAGGGGAGGGGTGTAACATGTTGTTTAGGGTCAGGATGTTTAGGATGAATTCATGCACCTAGGCACAGGCTTTCACTCGATTAGTACCTGAAAAGAGCTATACAAGCCACTTTCTACATGTTCATCTAATTACAATTCCAATATGTTTCACACTTACAATTTCATTAAGACATTCCTCATATGACAGACTATATTCACACAGCAGGGGCACCCCATTATGAGAAAACATGTAGCTTTCTATCAGCTCCTTTTCAAGAAAAATATTGTCAGTTGCAAAACAGAAACTTGTAATTGGTAGAAGAATGTTGGTGCACAGCCACACAAAAATGCATCCATTGGCCATGTAAATGAGAAAAATATCAGCTTAATTGGAGAAGTTCTTGATGTTGAGCTTTTGACTGTATTATTACTATGTTATATATTAACAGTGGTGGCTGCTATTGTAGGACATGAAAGAATATACCATCTTTATCCAGTACAGTGTAATTAACACTAATAGCATACTACATTGTAGTTTGTTTTAATAAACCCAAGATAATCAATTATTAGCATTCTAGTCCCTCACCCTCATATTTCTATGATTTAATTCTTGTGTTTGCAATTCAAATATGACTGCAAACGTTTATTATACTATTTTGATGAACTGTCACTTGATGAAACATAAAGATTGCTTGAGTTTGTTGAATCGTATTATTTTATCTTATTGACAAGGTATCCATACATATTTATGGATGTTATGTTTGGGGATGGTGTAAAAGTCCATATAAATACTGACCTACTTCCCTTTATTGAATTGTATAATATTGTTATTGGAAATTTCATATTTCAGATTTACAGGATGCTATTTGGTGACAATCTACTGGATGATACAGGAAACCGTCTGCTCAAAACAGATATCCATGACACACCACATAAAGATTTACCAGAATTAATCACTGGTGCCATCTATGAATTTATTAGTGGTGATAGCCAATCAAAGAGCATATCTCAAGCTTCTGGTATATTGACACAGTTGCTAGGGTTAAGAGAAAAAGGAACATCAGGACCATTATCTCCTAGCCAAGTTGTAGATATGTTGAAGGTATGTAATATTAATACAGACAAGGCATTAACATGACAAAATGTCACCACCTAGTTGCTCACAATATTATGAGTTCAATCTAAAGTCAGATTTCAACTTCTGAGAACATGTAGATGGTTTTGAAAAAATAAATTGGTCAATTTGAAGCAGGTTGAAAAAAGACCTTTTTGACCTTGAGAAGGATGATTGAAGGATTTGATTTGATTTGAAGCAAGTTGAAAAAATACCTCTTTGACTTTTTTTAAACCTTTTTTTACATTGAGAAGTTATTGGAAGTTATACGAATTTGTTACAGACACCAACCACCAACCTCCACCCGCCAATCACCAACCACCGATCACCAAGTAATATGTGTGTTTTGATGAGATTTCGATAGGGTATAGGTGATCTCTATAAACTAATCAAGTTTATCAACTAAATAATGTTTATCTATTTTCTTAAAGATGGTGCTACTGTCTCCAAAGTCACTTCATGAAGTTGCCTGTGATAAGATAGAAGTCAGACGTCTGCTCATTCCCGCCAAACCAGAGGATGCTTTACCATTGGTAGGTACCTAAAATGGGATAAGTGTGGGGGAGGGAGGGGTAGGAGTTTTCATGTAAGATTATAGTAAATTCTAAGTACATGTTTGTATATGTATTTTTAAGAATGCACCTATTATAATTCACTTGAAGTTAAAATTCAGTCAAAGTGAATTTATTACCAAATATATTTCATTACAAATTTGTTTAGAATATGATCCTGACCTATTATGTTCATGAATTAACAGCCACTTAACAAAAGGTCTCATCATGCTTATGAATCTAATATACAAATAAACAGCAACTGAAAATAGCAATAACATTTGTGTTAACATCTGCGATTCAGAAATGCAAATCCCCAAACATGTAATAACATTGTGGCACCTTTCTGCATGCTAATTTGCAGATGTATGGAAAATCTATTCACATGTATTACTTCTTGCAGTCCAAAAGTCAGGCGTACATATGTGGGTTAAACAGCACCCAGCTCACTGAGCTCTCCAACAATCTCAGTGCAAGCATATCAGATAACAACATCATCAACATTGTAAGTTACAGTGCTAAAAAAAACAAATTTGTTTTCATATTTTTAACATTGAAATGCCATGCTGATTATAACTGACAAATCACTTCCACATTTAAATGGGAGAGCCCTTAGTACACTTCTTATCTGCAATTACCTTGACCTTTCAAACATGACCTTAACCTCATATGACCTCTATAATGTTGACCTATGGAAAGATATAATAAGGAACAAGAATTAATAATTTATTTAAGAAATATAGAGAGCAAGCATTTCCATTACATGCTGAATAAACTTACAACTCACTTTCAATTTTTCTTTCAGTTCCACCTTGGGGACATGAATGTGACATCTGCTCAACAGAGAATCAAGGAATTTGCTCATAATGTAAGATTATTTAATATCTATTTTATTTATTTGATGATGGTTATTATTTTGTCAAACAATACATGTACTGTTAAATAATATTAGCAATATAGAAATAGTCAGGTAAATATGATAGAATATTACTTATACCCCAATTTTGTCATTTGTAGAATTATTTTGTTGTGTTAAGTCGAGTGATGATGAATTTCATGCCATCTCACGTCATCGCTGAATTGATCTGAATGTTTCTGAACCAAAGGTAAAGCAATACCTAGTTGAGAAGAATATCACAGTTACAATGATCAGCTTCCTTAATACCACTAACACTCGCTCAAAAATTGCTTAACGTTGATGCTCATGATGACTAGAAGGCATATGTTGTCGGCTTTCAAACAAGTGATGTCATGAAGAAATCGGCTGCGATGTTTACTGATATAACCAGGTCCAACAGGAATCTGAATAGAACTATTCTACTGTTGTTTTTAGTCACATATACACTCTGCATTCTCTCGCCCCACTTTATGAAAACACATCTAAACTTGTTCTCTTGGAATACGAATGGTGTTTTGACTAGCATTGGAAGTTTTTATTACAGGTTAGCAGCATTACAATCACAGTAGATGCATGAGTGCAATTAAACAAGCTTGTACATAAAAGTGATTTAATAAGTTGCAGATTACTTCTGCACAGAGCACCATAATTTAGACATTGACTTGGTGCTATTTTGGAACATAAGCCATTCAACGATAATCTTTATTTCTTGAATTCGATCAATGCAAAGTTTGATTGTTTTGCAAAATCAGATGCTAGTCTTGATCCGTTCAATCCATGTAGAATCGGAAAAGGAGGCAGGCGTTGCGCTTTATGGAAAAAATGATTAATATCTAATGTTTCTCGACTTAATAGCATTGAATCAGACAGGATTATGGGCATTGAGTTGAAACTCAATGATAACGCTTCCTTGTACATATTTAGTGAGTATTTGCCATCTGCTAATTATCCCTCAAACTCTTTCAAGGAGCACCTAGTCCAATTATCAGACTGCATAACTTATTTCTCCATGTTAGGTACTTGGCGATATGAATGCCCAAGTTAACGGTCCAAGATGTCTGGAAAAAGGCCTCAATACTCAAAGTAAAATGCTAAATAATGTGCTCAATCAAAATGCGTTAAGCTCTGTGACTACTTTAGATAGTTGCACTGGGCCTTCATTTTCATGTTTACTTAGAAATAAAAGTCCTTCCTCTTTAATTGATCATATATGTATTGATAATACCAAACTTGATATGGTGGAATTATGCCAAATTATTGATGGTAACTGTGAACTGTGTTCTGATCATTTATGTATGTTTGCATAATTTCACATTGACCTTTATGCGGTGGATAAATTGCTAATTAAGCCAGCTTTAGCTTGGAAATGTGTATCTTTATCATTGCAGGGGATTCTTGAGAAAATGCAGAGAGGCCTGTTCACTGACACATTTCAGCTTAACGACAACATAACCGATAAATGCTTCCGATAAACACATTCCTGTTAAAAAGTTTGTACACTATCTTAAGCCCTATTGGAAATTTAAACGTATTCACAAAGACCAGAAAGTCACCCTTGCCAAATGGTTACATGATGGAGATGGACGTCCAAGGGGTATGGCATATGAATCTTTTGCAGTGTATAAATCTACCAAATTCAAGTTCAGGAAAGAGCAGCTAAACAGCAAGATGGGAATATTAAGGATGACCCAATACTCGGCGAGCCAATATCCACATGTTAAGTGGAAAATGTTATAAGAACCAAGAAAGCCGGTAGTGTTAACAGTTTAACAAACAAACATCTCCTATATGGTTGAGAAGTTCTTTTTTGTTTGAACTTTTTTTCTGAAACTACTCCAGCAGTTTCCAAAGATTATTCAAAGTGGGTGGAAAACGTCTTTCTCATGTTGAAAATTATAGGACTCCTTATGCATCTGCAGCGCACCCATTTGGCGAAACAAGTATTTCTTATCAGACTAGATTTAAATGAAACGACCGCTTCTCAGAGGGGGTTTATTCCTGAGATACACAGAATATTAAATATGTACAGCCTAGATTCATTACACGAATACTGTCAGTGGGTATTTTCCACAACTAAGAATTTGGAAAAAACATCGTAAAACATACTATAAATTCAATACAAAACAGGCAAGACAGAACTGCTAATGATGTTAGAACTGTGTCTATTTTGGAAACACTCAAAGGTCATCCCTGGCCTGCTAAAGTTTGCCACTGTAGCCTTAAAACTATTAACAATTCCATTGAGTAATGATGAAAACCTATGTGAGCTCTGTGGCATGCTAGCTCTTGATTCGATTTCACATGGATTGTTGGATTGTTCTAAAACTGAAGATGGTCGCGATGAGATGCTACATAATTTAAGCTATGTTTTGAACTTTAACAGCACTGGGCTTAAGATAGAGTCATCAAAAAATTATTTTCAAGAAAACCACTTCTGTGTGTCAGCGAAAGGCCTCTCTAGCTTATGCTTTGCAGACAATTCAAAAGTCTGGGCAATTCTACTACCTTTCTTGTGTACTGTTGTGAAATATTTAAAGATTGATCTTCGTACTCGATTTTAGAGTGATGCAAATATTTTTAGATATGTGATATAGATATGTTCTTACTTGTTATTGAAATTTTAGATGTTAGTTTTTTTGAAACAGCAAATTATGTTTTTCCAAACTTTTAGTTTTGTTACACATTGTATTTTAGGATGTGAGTTAGAGACTGGGTGACTTTAAATCATATTTTACATAAAACAAGGAAGTCACTTGTTCCTTCAAGAAAAAGGGAAATAGTTTTTTATTGAAGTTCAAACATTGACCTACTTTTACATTGTTCTGTTTCAGTTGAAAAACTTTGCATTGTTTGAGCGTAATATGATAGAGTTGAGCGCTCTTGCGGCTAATCTCCCTGCAAATGGTTGTCATGGCGACAAAGAGGGCAACAGCACTCTAAATACTAGCAGCAGCACCATCTCACCAGGCACGACCGAGCCTTCGACAGAAGATAACGGGAAAATAGAAGAGGTGAAGTATACTTATTTTAAAGTCATCATTTGCTTGAACATCAAGGATTTTATAAAGTCATCATTTGCTTGAACATCAAGCATTTGTTCTCCATGATCATGAAATAAATTGTTATTATTATATGTACTTCAAATATTTATCTGTTAAAAGAGAAATAAGATGATGGGTTCATAAAGCAAGGTTTTAACATATAAGTATATAGGAGATAACAAGTTTTCGACCGAAGTGTCGGATATACAGTGCACATGTATTTAGTATTTGATACACTGTTATTTGCAGAGTGGGGGTCAGGAGAAAATAGATAGGAAGCCTAGTAAATATGCAGGTCTTCTCCAACTGTGGTTTGCTATGCAGGATACTGTCTGTGGTAACCCAAATACAATAACACCTGAAAAAATGGATGAATACATGTATTCAGACACCTTAAACCTAAGTGAGTACAATGTGTTTGCCATATTAAGTTGCAGTAGAACTTATCATAAATCTGTATTTTTGAAAGTAAAGGATCATTTTATAAGACTAATAACGAAATCATGATTATCAATTATTAAGTTACTCTATTTTCTATTGAATTTTTTGTTATCTGTACATGTGAATATTTCATATCATTCAGTAATCGATTAAGTGATAAATATTTAATGACATATTACAAAAAGTGTTTTACTTTATATATGAATATTGTTATTGTTTCTTTCAAAGGAGTATTTGGTATTCATTTTATCAATAATAACACTCTTATTATTATTTTCACAATTTTGTTCTAGGCATTTTGCATGATCACATGCAACAGTTAGTAACTTATTGAATAAATGACAAAAAGATTCAATAAATCTCTCATTTCATCCTTGGCCCAAGAGTAATTCATTGCATTACATTGATCTGCTATGAAAGCAGTGAAGGACTGATCTTGAAGGATGTCTCATTTCTGCATTTCTCATTGAATATATATCACATTAAATTACACTCATCGATCAATTACATCTTCACACACTCGATCTTCACTGCATTCAACCAATGGAGCTGAGTGAAAGCTACAACTACATATCTGTTTTAATTTGTTACATCACACAATAGACAGTTACCTGTTACCATAGTACAGTTGTCATCGGTATTGGTGTAAAGCTCAGTTGTCAGTAATGGTGGTGAATGTAGTACACTGTAGCTGCTAAAAATATGCTCATTTCATGCCTTACCTCAGATGACATATTTATATTGCAGTTTATTCTGTCTCACTCAGGCCAAGGGACAATCTCATTTTTGAGCACTACATTGTGTAGAATATTGGCTTATTCATTGGTAAATGCCTTGCATCAACAGCTTCTGTCTTTAGCACATGTGGAAGAAGTTGAATCGCTAGTGGGAGGGGCAAGACTTAATGCAGAAAGATTCAGTGAATTTTACTTTATTAATCAGCAAAAAATATTACTTTTCATTGATATTGTGTTCTCTTGTTTTGAACCAGCATAGCCAGGGGTGCATTTCTATAAGCATTTTCAAAATATACTCATTCTTTGTCCCAAGTATGCTTTCAGAAATGACACATTCTCTATTGTATTCCATACCTGATGAGGTTTCAGGGACATATCAACCGGGAATATATTCCATATCCGGGCAGATATTTTTTGTTATTCCGCTCCAACGGAGCTCCGGGACATATAAATCGTATGTCCCGCTCAAAAAAAATTTTTGAAAATTTTTTATAAATTCGGGAAAAAAATTTGATAAAAATTTGAAAAAAAATTGTGGAAAAAATTATGTAAAGATTTTTGAAAAAAATTTTGAAAAAAGTTTTGAAAAAAAATTCTGAAAAAAAAATTATGCAAAAAAATGTGAAAATTTTTTTGAAAAAAATAACATATTTTGCAAGTAAACACACCAGAGCATATGGGATACATGCTTATTATTTCAAACCTCATCAGGTATGGAATACAACAGTTATGCACGGTCGGTTTGGATACAGGAAATATCCCTTGGGATATACAATATATCTTCCCTTGGTCCCTTCGGTCCCTCGGGAAGATATATTGTATATCCCTCGGGATATTCTCTGTATCCAAAACCTCCCAGTGCATAACCCCTATATATTGATATGAGAGGTGGATTCTTTATGTCAGTATAAGTTGCAGCAAACTCATTTCCAAATTGGTATTAAAACAATAACTTTGATGCAATATGGCATGTTGATTTAAGCTATAAAGACAATTTTCCTTTTTGAATTTCACATGTGGTTCAAGTTCATGTGTTTATATTTTTTCTCATTTTATTGTTCTTGATGATCATCCATTTCAATTCATTGTTGAGTCAGGCTTACACCTTTAATTCAAATCAGTATTTTGTTATATAAAGTGATACATAAGCACAGTAAAACATATTTGTGTAAGCACATATCTTCATCAAGTCAGATATATCAAAAAAAATTTTTTTGAATACTTATAAAACATAATAGATTAGAAAAATATATGAAAAATGTACAAAATAAACATTTAGTTGTGCTCATAATACAATGATATAAGATTTTATTGTGTTTGTATTTTTCCTTATAAAATTTATGCAGATTTTTAATTCAGAAACAATGATTCACACATTGCTAGCTTGCTACATCACTTTTTGGCCAATAAAGGGCTAAGGCCACATTGCATTGTATACCCATACCATATATAACGACAGAGCATGGTTTAATTAATAAAATAATGTTAAGAAAATTTTAATGAGAGAAGCACAAGCTTGCGTGAAAATCTGTTCAAATGTTATCAATTAGTTAGCCAAATGGTAGATACTTATGCGGGTCTTATATGATGTCTTATGTGAATATAAGGAGTTCCTTTTGATTGATGTCGAAATATTCCCTGAGTTTACCTTGCGAAAAAGTTTCTGGTTGAATTTCAATAAGTATTGTTCAAAATGTTTGCTTTATGGGAAAAGAATTCATGCACACAACTCAATGGAATGTGATTGTTTTCAATAATGTATTTACTTGTTGTATGATAGCCTTATAACTTGACCTGTCAGCTTCAATTTAAGGCTAACATACAAGAACCTTTTTCATCGAATCACTAACAAAGTATTGAGTCCTATGGCACCAATTCTTTAAATTGAAGTCAAAACCTTGTCCATCAAATGTGTCTCATAATCTTGATCAATAGTAATATTATCTTTTGTAGAGGATATGGGTTTGTCTTCGAAACAACAGAGAGATGTTGGAATCTTAGTCCATGTGTTGTATAGCAATCCCAAGGTCCTGTATGCCCCTAACACAACAGCTGTGAGCTCAGTTATGACTAAGGTAAGTAAGAATGAGGACAACAGAAGTGGGTATGGGGCGTTGGTAATTTCATATGAAAACAATTTCATGCCATGCCAGTTGGAGTCTGTGGTCTCTACTAACAATGAGTGAGGAACTTTTTTATGATATAATCAGTAAAGCTTACAACTGAGATTTCTGTTTGAGGTACAATTCTCATGGCAGCCAGTGCTTATGCACAATAACAAATAAGCATTGTTAAATGCATGCTGAGGAATGGTTGCTCAAATACATTCTCATGAATTATACTTATATACAATGACATATAAAATAAATACAAATAATAATTTTACAATAACAAACTAGTGTTGTTTTGTTGTCTAGGCTAATGAATCATTTGCTCTGGTGGACACTATCAGTCAGTATGCTGAGGAATGGTTGAATGTGTCTTCTAAATGGAACTCCTACTTCATCCTGACTGTATATATACTGTGTATATAATAAACAATTGTTTTTCTATTGATTTCCAGGCCAATGAATCGTTTGCTCTGGTGGATACTATCAGTCAGTATGCTGAGGAATGGTTGAATGTGTCTTCTAGATTGCGCACATATCTTCTTCTGAACTCAACAGCAAGGAATTTGAAGCAAATGAAAAAGGTAACAATCAAAACATTTTGATTTTGGACTCTAAATCAATTATACTAAAGTAGACCTGATGACAAAACATATTTCAGCATTTGATAACATTGATGAGGCCAAAAACAGATTATAGTAAAACAGATGCTATATTATAACATACCTATGATGATGTACAGTGCAAAGTGTACACAAGACGGCGGGCCAATATAAGTTTTGAAAAGCCCGCGCCCGCTAACTTTCTGATTGGTCAAGGCGCTGACGTCATAACCAATCAATCGAAGATAAAACTGCGCGAGCAATTTTTCTAAACTCATTTCAATCATTTTCAAACCATTTGTTTGTCAATTCTTTAAGAAAATGGTACTCTCTGACCAGTCTACATCATTATAGGTATGTTATAAATCGTTTATGTTACTATCGTTGCACATATGCCCTCGGTTCTCAGAGATCAATGTCCCTCCCAAGGTCGGGCCATATATCACTGAGACCTCGGGCATATATGCCACGATAGTGACATAACCTCTAATTATGAACCATGCTGTATCTAAAACTTCTCTTTTTCGTTCACCTTGTACATGATTTTGTGGGAACTAGTGAAAAGATTTAGACTGAAATATTTTTTTAGCTGATAAGATTAGATTACTATATTATGCTGTTGATCAAGAAAATGTTTTCAATTATAAAGTTGATTATTAATTCAGATGCAAGACCAGATGAAAAATCTCCCAGATTTCTTCACCAACTTTGCCAACCCAGACATCACCAACTTTGCACAGAATGTAACGATCTACGACCAGAAAACATTCCTCCACCAACTTGACATTGTTGACAATGCTGCATGCGCCTGGAGGGACATGGTATCTGGCATCAGCTTCAATATCTTCAGAGGTTTCGCCACAGAGGAGGAGCTGGTGTATTATGTTCTCAACGAGGCATATCATAACAATGAAACTGTACTGGCCAGTGAGTTATTTAGAATTTATTTAGAATTGGTTTATTCACCTTTTTATGCTAAATGGTTTGACAAATCTACAGATTGAATTACCTTATTGACACAGTACCACGTTGCATTCAAATCATCCAAAGTTTATATTTCTCTCAAAATATTTTTTTGTAGGATATACAATATTATTGCTTGATTGTTTTAATTTTAGGTCTTGTGTTTGAAACTAAAGAAGATGGAAGCCTTCCGCCGCATGTCACATATAAGATCAGGCAAAATGCGTCATTCACTGAAAGCACTAAACTCATTCGACCAAAGTACTGGTACCCAGGGCCAAAAGATTGGGGCTTCAGTTATTACTATTTTGGTTTCGTCTGGATTCAGGATATTATTGAGCGGGCAATTATCGCAGAGTTTGTAGGACATGACATCACAGAACCTGGGGCATATATACAAGTTTATCCATATCCATGTTACATGAATGACGAGTAAGTTACCCTGTTGAATAAATATTCTAGCTAATTAAGTACTCATAAGTAAATATTAGTACTAAATGATTTATTGCATGTTTTATTACTAAATGAGTACTCATATGATGAGTGATGAAATAGAACAAATGGATCCCTCAAGATCAGAGCATATGTCCAGAGAGATTAACAAAGACATGTTTTCATTTAGATCTTAATGCAAAGTCCATTAGCCAGTACATGTATTTCCAACCATGAACTTATTATTGTATTAGTAGTACATGTAGTAGTAGGAGTTTCCACTTGAAGCATTTCCTGCATTAATGTTCTCACATTGAATCAATTTATCCTTTCAGGTTCTTGTTCATGATTGAACATGTGATGCCTTTATGTCTGACCATATCCTGGGTGTACACTGTTGCCATGCTGGTACAAAGTGTTGTTTATGAGAAAGAACAGAGACTCAAGGAGGTGAGTTTGAAAGTATCTTTAATTTGATATTTTTGTTTTATGAAGAAAAGCTATGTGGTCTCTTGACTAATCTGTACCTCTCTACTTCTTTGACGAGTAGGGGTTGTCTTATATGTAAAAAAGTGTAACAGTTTAGTTTGCCCATTAATTTAGAGTTTTTGTATGTAGTTATTAGTTTTAAGGTAAGGAGATCCAAGTTAAATGAGTAACTTTGCCAAAAACATGTACTCGGGACCTTTTCCAAATAATAATTTAGAGGCATTTTTATTTTTACTTTAGGTGATGAAAATGATGGGATTGAACAACTCTGTTCATTGGGTGGCTTGGTTTATGACATCATTCCTCCAGATGTCTGTAACCATGGCAATACTGACAGCCATGTTGAAGTATGGCAATGTCCTTAGTTACAGCAACCCTCTCATCATCTTTCTTGTCCTTGAGATGTTTGCCGTGGCAACCATTGCATTCTCGTAAGTGAATTAATTAGCATGTTTCAAATTATTATGCCCTTATAAAACCATTTGAATTCAGATGTCCTTAAAAATTAATGTATTATTACTTTTGAATACAGGTTAAGAAATTTTATCTGTCATAAAGTAGCAACAATTATGAGATCAAAGCAGATCTGTTCGGCTTTCCTATTTGTCTTCTTCAAGAATGAATAAACTAGAGTAAACGCAGAATGTTTATTTCAGATTTCTAGTTAGTGTGTGCTACTCCAAGGCAAAGTTAGCAGCTGCTTGTGCAGGTATCATCTACTTCCTCACATATGTACCATATATGTATGTAGCGATTCGTGAGGAGGCTGCAGGGGACAGGATTGCTGCATGGGCCAAGTCTATAGCCTCCCTTATGTCAACCACAGCTTTTGGACTTGGCTCAAAATACTTTGCGTACTATGAGATTGAAGGCATAGGTAATTATGTAGTGAGAATGAGATACTGTTATACATGGATGAGAGTCCTCAATCTCTAAGAGGGGAGGGGTGTTTCAATAGAATGTATAGGCTCTTTCCCTGAGGAAACAATAGCACCCAATTCAGTATCTTAGATTTGACTTTACTCAAAAAACTAAACCTTACAATATATGTAAATAATATTCTACGTCTCCCATTGTGTAAAGAAATGATCACTTGAACAAGAAACTACATCTAAGAATCCCTGACACAGACCTTAATACTAAAATGCCCTGGTCTTCACTAATGCCCAGACCAAAATGATTTTCCTTGGTCTAATAATCTCTGATTTTTGTTTAAAATGCTGTTTAATTGTTATTTTCAGGTGTACAGTGGAATAATATCTATATCTCCCCTGTGGAAAATGATCAGTACAATCTGCTGTCTGTGTGTCTGATGATGATGTTTGACTGTATTCTATATTTCATACTAGTCTGGTATATAGAACATGTTCACCCAGGTAAGTAGGCAAATGGAATTTGAGGCTTTGTTTAACATATGAAAAACAGTCTTGCCAGCATTTAAGAAAAAGCAGAGAAAACTTTTTGGAAAATGATCATGGATTATTGTAATTTAGAACCCCTTAATCTAGATGATATTTTATTGCTGAGGATTTTCATTTAGTTTTTGTAAATACATGTACACAGAAAAACCTAATAATTCATAATTTCCAAGCAAGTTCGGTCCGAGGTCTTTATTAAGAGGATATCAAGATTGCTGAAAGTTGACTAGAAGTAAAATAATGTTATTGGATTTGCTGTATGCGTTATAATTTATAGGATCATATGGTCTACCAAAACCATGGTACTTTCCTTTTCTGCGTTCCTACTGGTGTGGCCATGTGCAGACAGAGGCGGAGCAATGTAGTTGGAGAAACTGTCTCAAAGGGCGGAGGAACTTGTCAGTCATGGAGGAGGACCAGGCATGTGCTGTCAATCAACAACATAATGAGATATATATGGAGTCAGAGCCCACACACCTGCAATTGGGATTGGAGATTGACAACCTTTCTAAAGTGTATAAGAATGGGAAACAAGCTGTGAACAAGCTGAGTTTGAATCTTTATGAAGACCAGATAACCTCTTTCCTTGGGCACAATGGAGCAGGGAAAACAACCACAATGTTAGCAAACCTTTTGGTTTATAAATTAATTGAGAAGTGCAAATTGTTTGAATTGCATCACATAATTAAGATCTTGTCATAAAAAATCCGGCATAACCATTCACCTGTTCAGCTTGAAATAAAGAGAAAATAGCCTGTATAGGGAAATCATAATGTAAGATTTACGCACAAATCATTGAGTTGAATTTAACAAACATAGTATTTCTGATCACTTTGATTTTTAAGTTTTTTAACTGTGTAGTATATAATCTTTTTTAGGTCAATCATAACTGGATTATTCCCGCCAACCAGTGGATATGCGACCATATATGGCAAGGACATTCGTACTGAGATGGAAGAAATTCGTAAAAGTCTTGGAATGTGTCCACAGCATAATGTATTGTTTGACAAGTAAGAGCTTGAGTTCAATGAAATATTTGTTTTATGATTTTCATCTAGTATTTTATCTAAATTATTGAATTACTCTATTTCTGTTAATACTTCGCTATTTCTAGCTCTACCCCTGGCAATCTCAATCCAAATATGGCATCTTACCCTTTAGACCTCGCAATTCTTGACTTGTATTTTTTCAATATATCCTAAATCTCCTTATTAACCTGTCTTTGTTCTAACTTTTCAGATTGACTGTTGAGGAACATCTGTGGTTCTATGCCAGGCTGAAAGACATGAAGACCAAAGACATCAACCGAGAGATGGACTCCATCATAGCAGATGTAGGACTTCCTGATAAACGCAAGACCAATGTTGAGAACCTCTCAGGTGGCATGCAGAGGAAGTTATCAGTTGCTATAGCGTTTGTTGCCGGATCCAGGACGGTGATATTAGATGAGCCCACTGCAGGGGTGGATCCTTATGCCCGTAGAGCTATCTGGGATCTTTTGTTGAAATACAAGAAAGGTAATTAGGGAGGAGTTACATTTTCATTTTTAAATTTAAAGCGTTTACTTGAAACGTTTATTGATAAAATAAAAACTTAATGGGAATTGTAATGGGTAATTCATGATTTTTTCATGAACTAAAATTAACCTTCAGTGAAATTTTATGTTTTACATGTTTCTTTAAATTTATTACATGGAAAGATGTTTATGTCATAAAAAATACATTGGGCAATTCGCTTTTAGATATTATTTACATGTTTTAGGACGTACTATTCTATTGTCCACTCACCACATGGATGAGGCTGATCTACTTGGGGACCGTATCGCTATCATCTCTAGTGGTCAACTGAAGTGTTGCGGCTCACCAATATTTTTGAAGAATTCATATGGAGACGGTTATCACCTCATCCTGGTGAAGAAGATGGTGCAAATTGATGAAGAAGGTATTTAATTAGACATTCATAACATAAAATACTAGCCACTGTGAACAATTTAACATAATTATGAAAAGAATCCAATCTTTTTGCAGAGTATCAAAAACTATTGGAGTCCCTGTCTTGTAAATCTATTTTAGATGATGATAATAAGTTTGTGTTTAGGAGAGATGGTGCTCCAGTACTTAAGTACATTTACTTCCTATAGAATATGACTTGGGACAGATAGTACATCCATAAGCATTTGAATCTACAATACATTTTCACTTTTGTTCAAGGAGAAGGCAGTGAATTTGTATTTGAGAGAGACAGTGCTCCTGTACATTCATTGGATACAGAATGTGACTCTAGTGCTGTAACTACATTCATCAACAAACACATGCAGAGTGCCTACTTACAATCAGAAACACAGCAGGAGCTGCACTATGTCTTGCCATTCCAGGTATGTGTATATATATTTATGCTAATATCTTACAAGTTACAACCCTTCAAATTAATCTTTTATGAATGTAAACAATGTAAATTTTTTGAAAACTTTAACACCTAAAACTTCACATTTCTTTTTCAGGAGGCTAAGAAAGGACACTTTGAAAAACTATTCACTGGCCTTGAGAAGTCTTTGGATGAGTTACATCTGAGCAGTTTTGGTGTCATGGATACGACCTTGGAGGAGGTTTTCCTCAAGGTCAATGACCAATCTTCCACCTTGGAGGAGGAGCGTGAAAAAGAAGCAGAATTAAAATCCTTAGAGCAGTACTCGCTAGACAAGGGGGAGCCACGTGCCCCATCAAATCGCCATCGACGAAATATTTCTAATGTCAGTAACATTTCTCAGCAGTCTCTAACAAACTTACCATTCCGTTATTCTCACAGAAGACAATTTTCTGATGGTAGTCATGGAAGTATGGGATCCCTAACCCATCTACCAACTCGATTTTATAGTAATGGTCACCGCAGACAGCGCTCTGATGTAAGCAATCATTCCGTGTCATCAACCATTGGTCTTCTAGGTGGAAATAATTACAATAATTTACATATGGAAAATATTGGAATTGTGAGTGGTAACCATGGTAACCAGGACACAATGGAACATAGTCAAGTGAGACGCTTGAGACGTGGACACAGGAGACAACATTCAGACACTTCGGCTGGACATTTTAGACACATGAATCCATTAGGATTTAGAATGGAGGCCCATGATTCTGGAATAGCAGGTATGGGCCAAGAAAGGGAAGACATACCAAAATACAAGGGTGAAAATGTAGGAGTTAACAATGAGCAAAATGCAATTAAAATTCAGAAAAATAAAGCACAAGACAGGGAGCATGTTATTAAAGACCAAGAGCATAGTGTAATAGATAAACCTCACACTGAAGTAGCACAGAGGGATCAAGCAGTAGAAGATTGTGCAATGTTAACAGACATAGGCCACCCAGATGATTTGCGACTCCCCATGCCTGCTGATGAACCCCTCCTAAGTAGTCTACATAGACGACAATTCTCAAATGGCAGTTCAAATTCATTTACTAATACACTTGGACAGTCTGACACCATGCTATTGAGAACAATTGGAAATAGTGGTGATCATGTACCATTAAGAACAATCCAAAACAATGGTGACACCTTGCCTCTAAGGATAAATGATCATGACAGTGATAATGAATCCCTTGTAGGCCAGCCCATGGGACAAACAAATGGAGGATATTCCCGCCTCCCAACATTTGATCCAACTGCAGCAAATCCAGGTATGTTGTTATCACCCAGGATAGATGGTTTTGATGTCACCACCAAGAAGTGGTGACATATTGCAAATTGTAATAATCACTGTTTTTATCGCACTTTCAAAAAGTTTGACAGGCTATTATCATTGTCTTGTGCTGACGACCATGCATCTGGGGGGGTGTCACATAAATGTTGTTTGTGACTTGTGTCATCAGTTGGTGTCAGCCGCAGTCTGTAACAAACTCTGTAACCATTTGTAGCATTTTGTAAATGTCTTTTATTGGCTCTTTCGAGATCGTCTTTTTCATTTAAATGTATATAATGTTTATGTTTACTTATCAAAATATTTGTGCATTGCAGAGCCCGTGATTTGTGATGGAAAAGGATCGTATAAAGTGACCAAGAAAGAGCTGCTATTCCAACAATTTATTGCCATCATAGTTAAACGATTTTTCTACATTCGTCGCAACTGGAAGGGACTATTTTCTCAAATCCTCTTACCAGCATTATTTATATGTATTGCCATGACAGTCGCATTGACGGCACCTCAAGTGAAAGATCTCCCATCATTAGAGCTCAGTCCGTCCCAGTACTTCAACCTCACCCAGCCTCGTGGAAACTTCATTCCATTCTCAAATGTGGCTGCCCATGGTAAAGGAGCACCCCCATTGAAAGGGAGATACGCTAAAACATCCCCAGAGGCTCTTATTCAGACACTCCATCTACCCTCGGGTGTTGGGGCAACTTGCGTCCTTAAAAAGCCTTTCAATAATTCATTCGATGTTGACATTCTTAAGACTCTTAACACCACAAGTAGCTTTCATCTATTACAGAAATATTTTGAGCCCAAGTGTCAGCATGTATTCGAGAGAGGGCTACCACTAGAGAATTTTGTCCCTCCTGTACCAAAGGAGTCCAACTTACTGAGGTCGCGAAGATTATTAACCAATGAAACAATAGTTGAATCTGACGAGCCAAAGAAAACAGAACCTCGTTATTACCCATCATGCACTTGTGCTGAAGATAATAGTGGATTTATTTGTGAGAATTATGGGTACCAGAGTGCTCCTCGGTTCAGTTGTGTGACGAGTGATATTCTCGTGGATATTACAGGGCAGAATGAATCTGAGTATTACCTCAAAACAACTGATGAATATCGACTGCACAGGTAGGTTAGGCTATTTTATTTCAAATTGAGGCTATTGGATTTAAATGTACTAATTAGCAATTGCTAATGTTTATTACCTTAATTCCAGGTATGGATCATTTGCATTTGGACATGTAAGGGACTATGTGCCTCTTGGGTTTGGTGAATCTGCTCCTGCTCTGTTTAAGAAACTCGCAGTCAGGAATGTCTCTAAAGTCTGGTACTTCAACAAAGGTAAATTCCTTTGGGTTTCTCTTTGTCATAGAGAATTCTTCAATTGCAATGTTTCAAAGTATTCTTTGAAAATATATGTACCCACTTGAAAACAACAAAAGCAGGTCAACATTGTGTAAATGATAATATTGCACCCATTTTAGGAGGAAACATAGTCTGATGATCAGAAATGAAGAATGAAATGATGTTTTTGATACAAAAATATTCACACATGTAACAGAAAAGATAATTGCATTTTAATTGTTCTTAATGAAAAATATTTTTTATTTCATATGATTTAATCCTAAATGTATAATTTATGATTTTAGGCTACCATTCTGTGCCTACATACCTTAATGTTCTGAACAATGCAATCCTACGAGCTAATCTGCCTAAGAGCATGGGCAACCCTGCTGCATATGGTAATAAAAGTTCACAATGATTTTCACAAAAGTCCTAAAGTACATATGAGACTAAAAATAAAACACTCTCAGGTCTTCTTTTTAGAGATGTTTCATGGACATTAGTGTAATTAGAACAACACAGCAATTTTAGTTTCCATCAATGTTAAACCGTACATGTAATACACAGAACTAATACAATAGACCTGTAGACCTGTATGTTTGAACACCTCCTTGTAGGGAAAAGTTCTCTACATGGAACAGTTTTCAAAAGCACCAAGTCCCCCATAAACTGACATGTTAATAAACCCTCTCTGTAAGGAACACCTGTCTTCAAGGAACTATAAGTACTATAGGTGTTCCATATACACAGGTTTTACTGTATGTTTATGTTTAATATTCTAGGTATCACTGTGATCAACCACCCAATGAATAACACCAACAACCAATTGTCCATGGATGTCATCCTCCAGGGCTCTGATGCGCTCATCTCCATCTTTATCATTGTTGCCATGTCCTTTGTGCCTGCCAGCTTCGTGCTCTTCTTGGTCTATGAGAGATCCATCAAAGCTAAGCATTTGCAGTTTGTCAGTGGAATCAATCCTGTCATCTACTGGCTCGCTAACTATATATGGGATATGGTAAGTTGGTAGCATACTTTTATATTTCCTAAATAATTCTATTTCGAGTATGATTTTTAAGTTTTTTGTCAAAGGTTTTATTTAAACAAAAGACACATTTTACATGCACAACTTGTAGTCTTTATATTTATATTGTCATAAGTGCCTTAAATGTGTTATGAAAATGTAAGGCTGGATATGTGAGTATTGTGAGAAAAAAGAATGAGATATTACGTACTTTATACCTGAAATAATGTATGCATTTTAACTTATGATATCAATTGTTCCTTATGAATTTTATTCCCGGGGCGTTAAAATGTACATATTTCTTGGACTCTCAATTTACCTGGAAATATCATATTTTTCCTTAGAATAAAATGCATATTAAATTCCTCTGAGTAAATATGCTATATTTATTTCAGTGCAATTATGTCATTCCTGCCGTTTGCTGTATTGTGATACTCAAGATATTTGATATTCCTGCCTACGTGTCTGCCAACAATTTTCCTGCTGTCATATCACTCTTTCTTCTATATGGGTAAGAAAAAGTTATATCTTATGAATAGTATTCAGTATAAATGGATCTTTGTTTTATAGAATATGTGAAATAAATTGTATCTTATCCATCATGTCTGTGATATACCCACTGTTTGTCTGCTTGATAGATTGCATTATGGGAAAGGAACTGTTTCAAAGAATCTTTCAGACCAATGATGTTCCCAGTATTCGTTTGCTTGATAAATTGCATTATGGGAAATATAAATCTACTTTATATTTCAGGTGGTCCATTACGCCAATGATGTACCCAGTTTCATTTAGATTTGAGGAGCCAAGTAGTGCTTACATCTTTCTCATCGTTATCAATCTGTTCGTTGGCATCACATGTATTGTCACCAGCTTCCTGCTTGAATTGTTCCAGTATGATAAGGTAGGTAACAACCTCTCTTATTAGCTTACATGATTTTGGGTCGTTGTGTCAACACCTCTTACTTTTATATAGCATAAGTATAATTATAGATCGTCACACATTTATAAAAGGGTGATTTTTATTTTGACAAATCAATTCCACATTTATGGGTGAAGTTTCAGGATCTTCTATTTGTGTATAATAAGGAAAAATTTACATCTTAATTTCCCCGTAACGTAATAGCACACAGCTTGGCATATGAAATATCCTACAAATGAAACAAAGCAGTTCTAATACAAGGATTAATATTGGCTGTTGTACATATTCTTTGAACGCAATCACTCTATGGATAATGTTTTCAAAATCATTATAAACGGATTACTTTATCTCAAAGACAATTTCAATAAACTGGATTTTACAGAACTCCCCTTATTTCTTAAAAATGGACTGATCCAGTTGATTCGCCTGGTGCCGCCATATTGTTTTTATACGGGAAGCTTATCGGAACCCTTTAAAACCAGAAACTTTCACATTCTCATCAGAATTGATGCTGCCATCTTTTAAAGAAAATGTATGTTATACTGATCCCAAGGTGCTCTCCTTGGGATCAGTATGTGGAGAGAGATGATGATCATTTAATATTACTTTGCAGGAACTGAGTAGAGTCCATGATGTGTTAAAGTGTGTCTTTCTGCTATTTCCAAACTACAGCCTTGGACGTGGTCTCATGGATGTGGCATTCAATGAATACCGCAATGACTACTTTTTCAAAACTGGTAACATTTTTGATTGATTTATCAGTTTGAAAATCCAATAATATTTTCAATTATGATACATTCAATTAATGTTCAATTGACTTAAAATGTAAAATTATTTAATTATGTGCCATCAAAGTGTTAATTATTAATCCTTATTAGCAGTACCTCAATATATAATAGGCATTAGTCTTTAATTTTCTTCAATTTTAGGTCAGTACGATCAGATGAAGTCACCATTTGAGTGGAACCTTATGGCCCGTAATCTTGTAGCCATGGCCTGTATGGGTTGCATCTTCTTCATTATTACACTCATCTGTGAATACAACTTCTTTCGTAAACAAAAGTAAGAAAACCATAATTTAACCAATTTTTTGATATTTTTTAAGTTACCGGAATATATTAGGCTGTTTAAAATGTATCCTAAAAATAATTTTCCCTCGACAAAACTAAAACAGAAATAAGTAGAAATTAAGGATTCAATTTTTTGAAATTAAGAATACTTTATGATCAATCCTCATATAGTTGGGCGTATCATGATTTATTAAGATTTAAACTATGATGTAAGTTATAGTTTCGATTCGTGTATTATGCTTACACCCAAAGGTCTTATGTTTGATAATGTAAGATTCTTTTTTTCTAGGTGCCTTCCTGTGTCGACTCATATTCCAGTTGTGAATGGAGAAGATGCTGACGTTGCAGCGGAACGACGTCGTGTTTTACGAGGTACTGGGAGGAATGACATCATAAGATTGGAAAATTTGACCAAGGTGTACCACACACGTAAACTTGGCAGCCGTCTTGCTGTTGATCGATTATGCCTTGGTGTTCCCCAGGGAGAGGTTAGAGCATTAAAATGTTTAATGTTTTTAATATATATTGCATTTAATTGATCATTATGAATATATGATTTATAAAAATGTTATAAAAAGTTGTTGCAAAGGAATTGACAACTACCTACATCATGTGTACCATCATTACAGTTTTTCATATCAATGTATAATGCAATGTTGACTTGTCTCTCGATGCTTTTTTAAGAACATCTTTGAAATGTTTACATGTAATATGGAAAGTAATAACAAAATCAAATGCTATTGGTTACTGATGATACCCAAATATCCATATTTTTTTGCAAATGTTTCACAAAGGAAGAGGTAAAACAATATTTCTAGTTTGATTTAACTGGAATATAATAACATGTATTATGCCTTGATGTTATTGTAGTGTTTTGGCTTGCTTGGTGTTAATGGGGCTGGAAAGACCACCACATTTAAGATGCTGACAGGTGATGTGGGTCCAACCTCTGGAAATGCTTTCATGAATGGCCACAGGTAAGATCATCTCGAACTATTTGCCTATTTGCTCATTAAAACTAATTTCCATGGGGCATTTATTAAAAATATACTGTAGATCTAAATTACAAATGCATATGAATATTCAAACACATGAACTGATTTAAAAACCTTTAAAAATACTATTCAAGAACTGTGATTCTTGAGTTCTAATCACAAATGATTAAACCTTCATAATCTATACTATAACCAGTACTATTAATGTTGCAGCATTCAGAAAGACTTGCTTAAAGTCCAGCAGAATGTAGGGTATTGTCCACAGTTTGATGCCTTGTATGATGAACTGACAGGACGTGAACATCTTACGCTGTATGCTAGACTACGTGGTATTCCCCTCAAGGAAGAGAAACAGGTGTGATGTCATTACTGTTAATTTATCTAGTGGTTTATATTAAGTCCATAGTAGGAAAATTAAATGTAACTGTGCAGTACTAAGAAAGAGGTAGCAAGATGAGAACACCTTTGATGTATTCAGTTGTTCAAATGGAAAATTTAAAACTTACAATTCCCTTGCAGCTAGCTATGTACTGTTTGGTGCATTAGTTATTGGACAACTTCACAGGTGAGATAGTGAAGATGGCCTAAAGGAGATTTTTTAAAACAGGAAAAAATGGGACTTACTGCTTAAAATTGAAGCTAATTGAGAACAAGAGAACTACAGCTGTAGTGGGCTTCATTTTAAAAGCATGCCTAGTAAAACCAATTTGGAAAGGGTCATATCATCCAGGAGGTGCCCCAAAATCCATAAGGCCCCAGGTATGATCAAGTGCATTTATATAAACTACTGTGGTTATTTATGCCATGTAGGTTGTGGAGTGGGCCCTGAACAAACTTGCTCTCTCCCAGTATGCTGACAAGCCATCAGGGACGTACAGCGGAGGGAACAAAAGGAAGCTTTCAACTGCTATTGCTCTACTAGGAAATCCCCCAGTAATATTTTTGGTAAGTTTCAAATGGAACTATGTATTTAGATTAGATTTAAAAATCTTATGTTTATAATTAGGACTTGTCTGAAAAGGGGACAATAATGTTCTTGAGGTTGACTTTTTCATTAAATGCTCTTTTGTGTTCTGTTGCAGGATGAGCCTACTACGGGGATGGACCCACACTCCAAGCGTTTTCTCTGGGACCTTATTCTAGACCTTGTTAAGGGAGGACGCTCAATTATTCTAACATCTCATAGGTATGTTGCATACTTCTTTCAGACCTTGTTAAAGAGGCACTATGCATATTTAAGAAGAAAAAAGAACAAACATAGCAACATGTCATTTGCACAATCAATGTAATATTATTCAATGCTTCTTTTGTGTTAACATCTTCGTGAGAAAAAATAACTCACGTAGAAAATGCATTAAAACTTAAGAGATCATTGGCATGTGCACACCAAGATGTTTTAAATCACTTTTGACAAAATAGTTGGCAAATATGGTGGACACAAAAATGAATCAATTTTTCTCATACATGAGTAGTATCCTTGCTTCGTTGTGCTATCCTAAAGTATAATGGCTATATTGAAAAATATGTAAAATGAAATTCTGTTGGAGGTGTTACTTTCATCTACAGAGAAGCCCCTCATTAAAGCAATGGAACCATGTTATAGCACATAGTATATCAGGAAATAATATTAATCCTTATCCTACACTTAGTGTACTAAATGTATAATAACATTAAAAAATAAATTTGATATTTATGGGCAAAATGAATATCCGGAGGATATCGTCACGATATACTCCGGGCGGAGGATATCGTGACGATATACTCCGGAAAACCCAAAATGCGGAGGATATTGTGACGATATACTCCGCTTGTTGATTTCCCGCCAAATTGACTCTATTTGGCATGAAATTCATTTTGCAATGATATTATACATTTAGTACACTCCTTGTAAGTGTAGGATAATAAGAACATCCTATGATTTTTTTCAGAATATCATTTTAATCTACTCGGTGATATTGATATATATGCACTCGTTCGCTTCGCTCTCTCGTGCAGATATCAATATCACCTCGTAGATAAAAATGATATTCCTCAAAATCATAGGATATCCTATAAATCTTACTCAATTCTTCCCATCTACTTATACAAGTATTAGTATCAAGACCTTTGTACACAACCAATATAATTTGCAAAACGGCATTGAAAATCAGATTGCATTTTGGGGGTGTATAATCTATGGTTTATTTCCTCATTTCCAAATCTTGATGTCTCAAGTATACCATGGAGTATACATCTATGATGTTGATGTTCATGTTATCCAGAAATTAGCAAAACAGATGCACAATTGATAGTCTTACTTGTAAGTTTGGCAAACAAATGTGCATGCGGAACAATGTCTGTAACCTTAATAATTGATATGTGTTACAAATATACATATCAATAAAAAGGTTGACCAAACTAAGAATACCATTCTTTTACTAAACAATTTCATTGGTATTACAATAGTCTGCACTCTGCATATATGTTTATTATTTTAAACCCTCATATTGAAGGAAATTTTAGTCCTATATTTTTCAATTTTGGTCCTAGGTGTGCATCAATTCTTTCGTTTTGGGCAACTGTGAGCTTGGTTTTCCAGTCATCTATTGTACCTGAAAGAGTAGCATATCATTTAGGATGTCCAGTAATTATTCAAGGGATCAAAGGAGTCATTTACACCGTATATCCTCATGATAACCAATATTAACATTGAAAAGTAAGAAAGCAAAAAAAAGTGACATTGCAATAACTGATCAGTCATAGATCATCATATTACTTGAATCATTATCCCAACGAACGAAGTTCTGTAGGGATATAGTGAAGCCCTACGTCCGTCCGTCCGTCCGTCCGTCCGTCCGTCCGTCCGTCCGTCCGTCCGTCCGTCCGTCCGTCCGTCAGTCAGTCAGGAAAATAACTTGAATACTAGTCGACAGATTTTCTTTCAAGATGGCCGCCAGTTTAAAAATGGCAGGAATTTTTAGCAAAAATCTTTTGTTTTTCATTTTAAACCAAATATTATTATTTGAAATTTTGGTAGTATATTAACATCATCTATCTATTTCACATATATCCTGGGTTTTTCACCCTGACCCCCAGGGGCCGTAAATGGGGGATCGGGAAAACGGGAATTTTCGTTAATTTTGAGATGTTGTCACAAACATGTAACAAATTGTTTGTGGTTTACAATCAGGTGGTGACATTTTGTCGTGTTAATACCTTGTTAACATTGCCCATTTAGGGTAATTATGTAATTTCTGTATAAAAACTGAAAATTGTGAACAAGCATGAAATATTTGTTCATAGCTTCTCTTTAAGTAAAAGTACAGACTTACCTTTTCTCATGTGTGAGGTTTTAAGTGCATCTAAATCTTGGCCTGTTGCCTCAAGTGAATCAACTTGTAATTTTTCGAATGCTTTGCCAGTTTTGGGATTTTTCAGCATTTTATCAAACTGAAGGTGTTCTGCCATTTTTTCAATGCGTTCATTAGGTATGCTTTTGTTAAGAAACCTTGCAAGGCCTTTGATGACATCTCCCATATTCTGAAAATTGTTTGTTTCAATAAGAATATATGTAAAAATGTATGTCCTCAAACATAACAGTTATTACATGAGTATTTTTTGGAATACTTGCTTTTAAGATTGCTATTGTAAACATTTGAAATTCTTCTTTATGTACAAAATGTAGGTATTTGGATAAGTGCTAATATGTGGGTATACATAGCTTAACCAAAAAACAACAACAAACAAACAATACAAACAATGAAACAATCATATACCATTTTCATATCCTCATATAAGATACAGTGTATGTTGGCCTTGTCTCTATTTAGCCACCACCTACTAACGTGATTGTACCAACTCCCATATACCACTGAAAATATAGTCATTCAAGCAAATATCATAAAGGTCTTATACACCATTTCAAATATATGGGCACCCTTTGGAAATGCCATAAAGGTCCTGATAAATGGTTCAGGATCTCCCTTGGTCTTTAGAGCCATTGTTGAGTATTAAACCAAAACAGTACAATTCTTTAGCTTTACAATTAAAGCAGATATGAAATGGTATTTTTAACCTAAAGGAATCAATATAATTTTTTGATAGATGTATTTGGACATGTTTTCTCATCAGTAGTGTGAAAACTATTTCACTCTAACGATCATTATAGCTGCTTAATAAGCAATATTCGAATTGGTTGTGACGTTATTGGCCCCCACATGATCTCTCACTGGTCCCCACGTGGCCCGTTTTGGTCCATTAGATCATGACGTCATAATGCCAAAATGTTTTGTTATTTGTTAACACAACAATCCTATGGTTGCCGTGACGTTGTGATTACTATGGAACCAATAAACCAAAGCTATATGTTGTATATGACGTTACTAATCACGTGGGGGCCAATTTGATTTATCAGTTAGTTTTATTTCGTTATCTTTGACCGTTAGCAGTTATCTAACATTTATTTTATAATGGCTATCGCAAGAACTCTACGGTGGGCTTACAATGGAGAAAACCGTATTTTTGTAGCTGCAAGTTGAGAAAAGCTATTTCAGTTGTGCTTTAACCGGTCTGAAAAGACAAGCTTTTAGAGTCTACCTACTTTGGTCTTGTGTATCTGCTAACATTGCGTCGATACTATTGTCTAATGTAGGCACCACATCAAAGAGCTCTGGTACAGCATGTAGAAGGTGATTGCTCACTAACACTGACTTTGGGTTTCTTAGGATAGCCACAACCTATTGTTATAAAAGAAGACACTACTTTAGAAAGACAAATATACATGAAATGTAACGAGAACTCAGATCCCCTTTCCAGTCATTTTTTCATGATAGAGGTATCTCCTGCTTATATCTGAGGTTGTCTCTTATCCCCATTTTATCAAAACTGTTGTTTTTCCAAAAGCATTAATTATTTGGATGTTTGGTACCATAAGGGTTGCATGTGGTCAGAATATTAATTACTTGTCAGAAAATTAATGGAAGGACTCTATGGGATTTTGATTATGCAATTACAAGCTAAGATTATCCAAGAGATAAATGTTGATATAGATGTTATAGTGAACACCTCTCTTTAATGAGCACCTGCGTCTAGTGAACACCACTTCAAGACACATTTTACATGGACTCCTGTATAAAATCCCCTTTATGAAGTGAACACCTACCTACAATGTTTTGTGGCTTCATTGGTGTTCACTATATACAGGTTTTACTGTATTTACTGGGACGGAGTGAATATGTGTTTACTTGGGACAATATGTCAGAGTGACAATATGATACATCCCTTGGTTGATATTATATTATCAGAGGATAAAACTCATATTCATTCCTGACCAGAAAGAACCTCTAAATGATAAATTATATATCTAAAAATTCTCAGGCAATTAATACCCAAGTCTATGATCCAATAGAATTTTTCCCAGCTAATACAATTTTTCCAGTTAATACAACTCAATACCACTTTTATTGGTTCATTATATCCCTGGAAAAATGTAATATTTATGGAATAAACCCTTATATGTAAACCAACAAACTTTGCATTTCCCTTGTTTCACTGATTCTGGCATAAAGTTGTAGGGAAGGTGAGTTGAGAGGAGACGAGGCGATGGTGCACTCTCTGCAACAATCATGGGGTTGGGTGTCTCCTCTATAGCCTTCATGCTCAAATCTGTTTCCCCACGGAATACTAAAGAAATATATAAATATATTTTACGATTGTCTGACTTCAAGTACAATTTGCATTTTAGGGTCAAATGGAGTAAAATACAAATTGAAAGCATTTGTTATTTACTTTAAGTGGTTACAATTCCTTATTTATAATGTAATTCTTCATGTTCTTACTCATTTTGAATTTTTTTCTATGGAATATGATATGCAAAATCAGCATATTTGGTATAACATTTCTTAATATTCTCTCAAGGGTACAATATTGTTCATTTTGTGTGTTGTTTAATTTTAACTCTTAGAACACTCACCTGTCATTGGCACATCCATCCAAATGCTTCTCTCATGAATATGTCTTTCTTTGACAGTTTCTATATCCCCACCATGCATCACTAGGTCTACCAATGCTATGCTCCAGTGAGTTCCTGTAAATCATTCAGAATTTTTCAGTGATGTTTCTATATCCGCAGATTTGGTGAATCATCATTGTTTTTTTAAATCTCCATATATTTTGTAACAGAATGAATCTGTAAAAAATGAAAGTTGATTTTTGCTTTTAAGGATCAAAATTCTATTAAAGGATTCTATTTGTATGCCAATGTGGTTTCAAATCAATCTAATCTAAAATAACATAAAACTTGTATATTTTGAACACCTGAGGTCCTTCAAAATAGTGTTCCTATCAGAAGGTGTTCCACTTAGAGAGGTTCATTTTACATAAGGTTAATTGGTAAAAGGACTTTGAAAAGTGTTCTACTTACAGAGGTGTTCCAGTTTATGGAGGTGTTCAACAGGTTTTACTGTATTTGATGAATTAAGAATACTATACTATCACTTTTGCTATCGATTAATGTTATCTCACTTTGAAAAGTGCCATAATGTTGTGATCTTTTTATTTCTTCATCTCCTAAGAAAAAAATTGATTCCACTTACCTGACCGAGGATAAGACGATATTATGACATCATCATCTCGCATTTTGTCATACGTTTTCATGCCTCGTACAGCTTCAACGTTCGTCATATCTTTACTAAAGCATGTTCCATCTATAATTTCAAACTGGCCTTCCGATTTGAATTCGGGTCTCACACCTCCCCACCCACTTAGGCTCATAGGTTCTGCCATTGCTATTTTATTGAGACGAGATTTAGATTGTTTAACAGGTGCCAGTTACAGCTAAATGATCAAATATGAAAATGTCTCGTGGTTTATATCCTGATTTTCATTAACTGATTTTTCAACTAAGGCCAAGCCAAATAAATGCTTGTTTCTGGATATGTAATAAAAGCATGTATGTTCCATACATAGATGCCTTTGATTTGTATGTTAAAGTGTCAATGGATGTGGCATCCATTCCATTCTCCTTGATAAGTGCTTTAGCAAGGATTTAGCCTACAATATATAAAGATAATATTATATACAGTATAAAGAAATACTATGTGAAACATGAACTTTATTTGTCTTAGCCTCTATCTGACTAAATATACATATTACGATAGTGTTAATGGAACTATGTACTCTAGCCATTGAAAATCAATCTCAGTCTTTTTTGTTGAATGAATCAGTGAGTCCAAAGATTGTTATGACTATCAGTCACAGTGATCACAAGGTATGTCACAAGGTTCACTTAATAGTACATGCCATTTATAATATTAAACCTTTCTTTGACTTGTTGAATTAATATTTTTAAATACATATCATATGTGTGTTGAAAAGTGTGAGTGTTAGTCATAAATCAATCTATGGATCATTCAAAATGTCCATCATTTTTAATTTAACAAGTTTGTAACTTAAACTTCTCTTTACTTGCGTCATATTTTAGCTGATTATAAAGGCCAATTAAATTTTTTCTTTACTTTAGGTGTTTTAAAGATTTTTGTTCTTCATCATTTAAATAATGACCGCACTACCACATCATGTGGCCAGTGATGATGTCATAGCAACTTTATGCACTTACTATATGCACTTGGGTATTACCTTGGGGAAGAGAACTTCAAATCCTGCTCCTTAAAGTCCCCGTCTAAAGTTTGAAAATATTTTTTTATCATTCATTTACTATTTGTCATGACTTAAAAAGTTATTTTAGAGATTTTTGAAAAAAAAATGTTTTTGAAAAAAAGTTGTGAGCATTTCATTTCTCAAATATTCAAATTTCCCGCCATTTTTCAAAAAATGTTTGACATTTTTAATCATCAAATATTTCTTAATGCATTTCAAAAAAGATTATCCTTTTAACACCAATGCAAAGATTGAATAAAGGACACACTATTTCAATAATAAAATGCCATATTTAATGGGCCACTTCAATGTTTTAGCATGTCAAAAATATTTTGCAACATTAGTGATGTCATTATGACTCACTCAGGTGGCAAAAACTTTTTGAACAATTTTTTTTCGATGTCAATCTTTTCTTAATATGCTAGACTTCAATAATAAACTAATGTTGATTGTCTAACCAGGTTAAAAGGAAGAATGTATATGTTTTAGACATCATTGTACCATTGGTTTCTATGAGAACTAAAATTTTGAAATGCATTTTACTCGGAACCATTTTCATGCACTGATGAGTTCATTTCTCGCTTATTTATGAACGGATTTTCTTAATTTTTTCGGCAAAAAACATGCAAGGATGAATGCTATGCACTGGTATGAATTGTGGCTTATCAAAAGATATGCATCACCTCTAAAAGTTAGTTTTTAATAAATTAACAATTTTTTGAACAAAAAGTCTTTCAAAATACACTTTTTGAAATTAAAAGAAAATGTTTCACATATCACACTTTGATAACATTGGGTAAGACTACAATATAAGCCAAAGTGGTTTAAACTTTATATGGAGACTTTAATGGTTTTTCATGAACATATACATGTACACCCCAAAGTACAACTTTAGCTGTGCAAATAAAAGTACCAAAGTCCACTTATTGATGAAAAATAAATGACACGAGTTGTCCAAAGATTGCAGTGTACCATTTGAAGGTGGGATTGTCAGATTTAAAAATCTATCCTGCTTAGGTGATTACAAAGTTATCTAAATAACCATTTTACTCACCTGGGGTTTAATTTAGTAAATAACAATTTTATTTAAAACATTTTTGAGAAGATTAACAAAAAGGCACGGTTTAAAACTTTATTTAAACTTATAGTAGTATTATGAAGGGCCTTATAAAATAATTAAGTAAACCTGTATGATGATATAATAACAATTTAATTGTTGCCACAATACACAAAAATATGGCAAGTTTTTCAATGTTTATTTATTTTGATAAAAGGTGGAAAATGTATCTCAAATTGTTAATTATAAGTTTTTAAAACCTCTTGCTTTTTGGTTGGGTAAAGGTAAAATGTAAGGTTTTGAGAAAATTTATGGTACAATATTTTCAGAATATCTCAAAAACTGTTGAATGAATATGTTTTACAAAAATACATGGCTTCATAAGTATGACGATGTCTTGCTGATTTGTCCCAGAAATCAAGGAAACTGTAGTGTTTTGTCCTTTCTCATGTGCAGAACCTATTTACACACTGGCGGACCTCGGGAGGGCCCAGAAAAAAAAAATGGGCCCAAAAAAATTTTGAGCCAAAATAGGCCTTGTTGCCCCAAAAAGTGGGCCTTTTTGGTCATAAATGGGCCTTCTAAGACCTTATTTTTTAATTTTAGGCCAAATTTTGAAGAAAAATAGGCCTCAAAATTTCAAAATTTGGGCCCACATTTTGGTTTTAGGGGCCCAAAAAATTTGGAGGTTTTTCTCATACCAGAAGTTTGGGCCCCCCCCCTTGTTGGTTCCCAGATCCGCCCCTGTTACATGTAATGAGTCACCCTCTTTTCAGTGTTTCCATTTGTTTTACAGCATGGAGGAATGCGAAGCCTTGTGTACCCGCCTGGCTATCATGGTGAATGGAAAGTTCAAGTGTATGGGAAGCATTCAACACCTCAAGAACAGATTTGGTGATGGTTACACTGTCAGCATTAGAGTCAAGGGGCCGAGCTTTGAAAGAAACATCCTTATGGTTCAGCGCTATTTTGATAGGAATTTTCCGGAAGCTGTTCCTAAGGTGAATTTTATTTGATCAATATATGAAAGTCTTTTTATTAGATAAGATTTTTTTAGGAACGATATTGTTATATTGTTCACCTTGTGCCTTGTTTAATTATCGATTCTTATTTGACATAACTGAATATAGATGAAACTGTATCACATCTACTTTGCTATCCGATTTAAAATTCTAGATACATAATAAGCTGATGTGCCATATACATGTACAGTATTTCTCAAAAATCTTTCCATGCAAAAGCTTTACAATTTTTGATCTGTTCTTGTTACCAAGGATATTATGACATCATAGTAAAGAACAAAAGCGACTCTTAACTTAACGCAAACTTCTGGTGATGACGTCCTGTTCAATTTTATTCATTTATTTCAAGGAGTTACACCACAATATTGTGCAATATGAGCTTGGCAGTAGTAACCTCTCCTTGGCTGATGTATTTGCTAAGATGGAGGAGATACAGAGAGAGCTAGAAGTCGAAGACTATTCTGTTTGTCAGAATACACTTGATAACGTAAGTGCAGCTAATGGAGGAAAAACGGGTCAGCCCAAAAGCTTTACACTTTTATATGTAACCTGCAAGATCACCTATTTGGAAGTGCAAAATGGTTTGGAAAATTAAGGGAAATAGTATCTTTTCTATTGCTTATGCAAAATCAAATATGTATAGAATTACATTGATCAAAATAGTCCTGTTTCTACTTGTAGTAGCCATGGAATACAGATTTCACAGAAGGTTTGGCATCCTTGTGTTCATTTAACCTTTCAATCTAATCTGATCTTCTTTATGTCTTTCCTATGTCTTTCAGGTCATGTGTTGCTTGTTCCCATGTCATCAGGATAATCATTTGAATAGGATTCCCCCTGTATTTACATAATCTGTCATTTCTGTTTTAGTACAGGAACTTTAAAAAAAGAAATATGAATACGAGGGGTGATCCAAAAGTCTTGGACGCCCTGCTCTATTTTTGTTGATTTTTGATAAAATTACTTTAAACTTTCCAATATTAAAGACCAACAACCAAACTACTTTGTGTACTAATTTCATGGAGAAATGTTATATTTTATATAGTTTTCTAGATAGTTTTTAATACAGGGACCCTGCCACCCGGAACGGTATTCGCACATGGCAACTTTCAGCCTTAAATGTTACAGCCATTTCACTTGTTTCGCAAGTTTTTACCACTATATTTCTTTGAATTTTGAAAGTTAAACCACGTTAGTTTACTTCCTTTGTTACTAGGCCACCAATTAATTGTTTTTTAATTATAATATTACATATGACAATGGCCGTACATGGCAAATTCTAAGAAAATGCCATTAGACAATCAACCCTCAATCAGGCATCATTTTTGTTGCAAGATGGCTACTGAAATGCAGAACACGAAAGAAATCAAAGTGAACAAAGAATACTTCAAGATATTTTCACTATTATTGACCTTGAGCAGCTACCATATGCACGATACAGTCTATCTATGGCTCCGTGTGATTTTCTTCCTTTTCTACAAGTTGAAAGGAGGGTTGAAAGAAAATGTTTTTTACTTCATTGGATGAGGTTTAGAGTAGCACTCCAGCAGCATTTGTATCACATAAGCAATGGCGGTTTCATAAATGTCTTCCATTCATTGGTAAAGTGGTATGAAAAATGTGTTCAAATTCGTGGAAAATATGTTGAAAAGTAGGTCTTAATATGTGAAGATGATGATGGCAGATGACACTCAGATTGAAAATCGAAAATTCTCTTATATCGTGGCTGGTGTTAGGTTGTGCACATGCACCTAAAGTATTTGCCCTATTATAACAGTTGTGACGTGATTTGCTATATTTAAATACCGTTCCGGGTGTCAGGGACCCGGTATTAAAAGATATTTAGAAAAGTAGCTAAAATATACTATTTTTTGTTGAAACTTAAACATAAAGTTGTTAAGATGTTGATCTTTATTATCTGAAAGTTTCATGTATTTATACCAAAAAATAGCAAAGTTAGAGCGGGGCGTCCAAGACTTTTGGATCACCCCTCGTATAACACTATTGTTTTTTATGGTTTTAGGTGTTTATTAATTTTGTAAAGCAGCAAGCAGACTTAGTGCAGGAAACAGGAGGTGAGTCATGTGACCAGTCATGTGACCAAGATGAGGACTATGCCTCAGGTCTTGAACAGGTGAGTCCAAATATGGTATTACATCATGTCAGATTCGTGCCTCATATCAGAAAATCTAAAATGGCCACACAATTGAGAATGCTTATTTAGTTCTTTGGTTTCTCTATTTTGAAAAAAATTTGACAAAATGAAAAAAAATAGAAAACTCTACTTTGTATAGGATAAAGCCGTTATGTACAGTCGGTTTGGATATGGGGTTTATACCTCATGAAATATGCACATCTACCTGGATAATCCCCATATCCAAAACCTCCCAGTACATAACCCTTATGTATACATTGTATTCCTGTTACACAGGCTTATCATTGTCATTGTTTTATTTTCAGGGGAGATTGTCTTTTGTAACCATGGAGGTGGCAGAAGCTTGATTCTATAAGACTACAACATCGCTATCTAGCTAAATGGAGCAGACAATCTATATAGTGTAATACCTATCAAATGGAACACCTCCATAAGTGGTATACTTTTCAAGCCCAGTTACCCACTAATGTAAAGTGAGCATCTGTTAGTGGACCACCTCCCAAGTAAAACACTATTTTAAGGTATCAAAGGTGTTTCAGTACAAGTATTGATGAGAACGTGGGAATCTTTGTGAAGTCAATGTAAGACTCTGAAAGAGACCTGGGTAATACTGATTTAATATGGCAGAAGCTTGGTGTATGTGATCAGAACTTGTGAACTGACAAGTGACCTAGATACGTAAATGGCTACAAGTTGGCGAGGTAAAACAAAAATGCTGCTTTAAAATGATATCAGCATAAGAGAGCAGTTTTAAAATGATATGGATATCGAAAAGGGAAAAAGCAATACCTTGACAGGTTTAAATTGTAAAGACAGCCAGAGATGTAGAATTTTATTTTTGTTTCCTACTGAAGTATATAGTGATCGCAAAAAAAATTAAAGGTGGATATGTTGATATACAAAAAGGCATTAAAACTAGCATATCAAGGACTGCATTATAGTGTAAGCAATTGTGATTTTCTAAATTAAAACTAATATCATATATTTTCAATAACTAGATATAGTAGATTGCAACAGATAAAATGAAAAAGTAATATGTTGTGGGTAAAAAAGTGCAGAAGTGGCACATTTAATGTTCATTTTTGCACATTGATACTTTTTGCATTTGTAGGTGCTAAATATTTCTAGTCTAGGATCTAAAAGGTTAATTTATGTTTTTTTTATTCTACTTTGCAATAAAGACCCCATGGCTGCTGACATGGGTAGATGTAAAGTCTGGGCAATAAATAAATGAATAGTGGATTTGCTGAAGTGAGGATTTCCCATATTAAAAATAAGAGAATTTTCAAGAGGCTAAACATCAGTGGATGAGAGTATTCAAAATGTAAAATATAAAAATTAGGGGATATGTATCAAGACAATATTGGAAACTATCAAACCTTGGAAATGGTGATAGAAAATCGACTACTCATTTATTTAATGTGCAGATTGTAGATACAGTGTACGGGTAAATGCGTCATTATAAACAGATGTACATGATCTACTGCTATTTATTAGTAGAGAAATTTAGTCTAGAAGATGTGCAGTTGGGTGGTGCAGTAAAAATAGAGAATATCACATGTGTAGTTGATCATTTAGGCAATATTATTTATATTTTTGCTGTGTACATAACATTATATAATCATGGATAACAAGAAAATATGCTGAGCCATAGGCACCAGGCCCAATGGAATCAAAATGAGATCCTTAATATATCTCTTATTCTAGTAATTTGAAACAAAATGAGACATAACTGAGGTATACATATACAAAAAATATGATATGCTTTGATGAAGGGGTTTTCTCATGACAAATATGATATACGTTGATGAAGGGGTTTTCTCATGACAAATATGATATACGCTGATGAAGGGGTTTTCTCATGACAAATATGATATACTTTGATGAATGGGTTTTCTCATGACTCAACATAAATTGTAAACATTGAACATCAGCCATTGTAGATAATAATATATTTTTGCTTCGGTGAAATGGTAAATTATGCTTCATTAATGATCATATAGATTGCAGTATAGAGCTATATGTACAGAGTGCAGGCAGAAATATATTCTGAGATATTTATTTTGTATTTAATATGAATGAATATACATTGAAGCATGCTTTGTATTGTATTAAAGGCACGAGGCAAAAGAGGCAACAGTCTCACCAAAACTTTTCAGAAATATATTTGAATCAGACATTTTTCGACTAAAACTGTGAAAATGAACCCAAAGACACTACTGACTTTATCCTAATTTTGTCCTGAGTATTCATTTGAGATCCTGGCTTTGCTGCTGTACCAATATAATTGGTATACAGTATAATGGTATAGGTATCACAGAGGTCTATTTCAACCCCCCCCCCCCCCGAGAGTGAGCACATTTTGTTTGTAGTATTAGATAAATCAAGTATACTTTAATCTCTGGGAAGTTCAGTCAATTTGACACCTGGTTTAATTTAAAAAATTAGCCCAGATTGTTTGAAAAAATAGTTAGATTGATAATATCAAATGAAAATAATTTGCAGTATTTTGTAAAACTATGAACTGGTGTTCAGAGCTGGGTTGGTACTTTAAAAGTGGGATACCATAGATTGTTGTAAGATTTTCAATTACTTTACATGTAGAAATGTGTTAAAATTTGTTTTCATAGTACTGTCCACAAAAAATGCTTACAATTTAATCAAAATTTGTCTCTAAAAGGTGTTTATTACATACTTTGTGCAATGTTAAACTGCTAATTTATAAAGGTGGGTTAAATGTTGTGAAAATGGCACTGTGGTAAAACAGTTCATCTAACCTCTCATTTAAGCATATTGAGGTAGATGAGGATGTTTTTCTGCCACAACTGCATGCTTATGTAAATAGTACATTATAGTAATGATGAATATAGCGAATATCAATAGACATAATTGCAATTGACAATTCTTACTAAAGACAGTTCTAAGAAACAATAGTAGTGTAATTTAAATTATTGGATATACCTCACAATTTTGAAATATGAATAAGTTTTTTTGTATTAAAGATGTATATGTCACTTAAATATTCTATCTATGATTATGAAATAAATTATATTTGTGATATTGTAATATTCTTACTTAACCTTTTCCATCTACAGGGCGTATCAAAAAAAACACAAGTAGTTATCTAGTAAAATCACAAAACTAGTGATGACTACAGTACATCAACTTCATTCAATGTACCATAAAGCCACGTCTCTCCTCTTTGCAATGATATGTCATTCATTCACATGTGGTAATGGTTGGGTGAGAAATCCTTCCATTTGCACGGTGGGTCAAAATCGGCTCTGGACCAAGTTTTAGATATTGCAAATATCAGTGCAAGGGCTAAGTGCCAATGGATGTTCCCCTGACTTGAATTGTTGTCACTTTTTCTTTTGGAGCTATCTCAGGAGCATCTGTGCTCACAATTCCTTGACCAGATATTGCAAAACCTCGAGAAAGAATTGCCCATGGGCTGCTTTTCTCTGGTTTAACCCACAGATGACTCAGGGCTGAACCATGCATGACGTGGACAGATGAGCGCATCTTTATGTGCAAGGAAGTGGTGGCAATTTGGAGGGGTATAGGATGTATTCTTGCAAGATTATGAGTATGAACACTTTACTGTCTATGTCACACCTGTCACACCTTCTTCTAATAGCCCCTATGCCCCATGTACTGACTTTTGCAATGTTTGAAACTTGAGTCCGACCCGAATTTTGCCCCACTTTGGAAAATTAATGATTATTCGACCAGCCAGGACTCCCTGTGAATGGATGATATTCCATTGCAAAGAGGAGTAATTTGGCTTTTTGGTACATTGAATGAAAAGGATGCAGTCAGCATTGGTTTTATGTTTTCTTCTAATATTTCATTGGGCTCAGTACACTGACTTTTTCGATGTTTATAACTTGGTCCCAAGCTAATTTTGGCCCACTTTGCAAATGGAATGATTACTCGCCCAACCATGACCAAATATCAATGAATGATAAATCATTGTCAAGAGGAGACACATGGCTTTATGGTGCATTGAATGAAATCAATGCTGTTATCACTAGTTTTGTTCTTTTCCGAGATAACAATCTGTTGCGTTTTTTATACCCACTGTATACTGACTGCTATTATAGAGTTTCGAGACTGTATTGATTTACCTCCTTTATGTCATTTAAGATGATTTATCTTGCAGGTTACTGTATCAAAAAACTTTTTTGAACAGCTTTCATTATCCCAACGAACGAAGTTCAGTAGAGATATAGTGAAACCCTCCGTCCATCCTTCGGTTTGTCAGTCTGTCCATCCGTCCAGAAGATAATTCTAGTGGAATACTGAATACTAGTGGACGGATTTCCTTCTAAATTGGTGGAAAGATGTTTATTGGTGAATAGTTTTATGCAAATAAAATGTTTTCAAGATGGCCGCCACTTTAGAAATGGCGGTAATATTTGGCGAAAATCTTTAGTTTTTCGTTTTAAACCAGAGAATTGAATATTATTGTTTGAAATTTTGATAGTATATTAAGAACACCTATCTATGTCACATATATTCCAAGTTTTTCAGCCTGACTCCCAGATGCTGTGTATGGGGGTCATGTGTATGGCGGCCATTTTTATGGCATAAAAATCATGTTTTCAGCTCTTTTTTGGTTATTACTCCAAAAGTTTTCCACCAATTTGCTTTAAATTGTACAGGTACCTTAATTTATAGGTTATCAGTAAGGATTACAAGTTTCGAAAAATTGTGAATTTATTTCAAATAAAAAATAATAGTTATCACACACACACATTGTATAGCAATAATTTACACCATCGCAGGCCAACAAAGTTTAGCATATACAGAAAATATTTGTTAAATAATTTTACAATTAACGTTACAGCGTATCCTTGTGACATCACAATTTAAAAAATGCTTTAAACGTTTATATATGCATAAAATCACACTTTTGAGATTTGTCTGATCTATTCAATGTATCTACATAGAAAAATAATGTATGTGTTTAATTCTAAAAATCCTTAGTTTCTAAATTGCCAGGAAATTAAATTTATGCTTTTTATCTAATGAGTATTGTTATTCATTTGATTTATATTTCTAATAAAGTAGGGGCAGTTTCTTATCAACACGTACATCAATTTTTACTATTTTTTTTTTTTTTTTTTTTATTCCAAAATAATAGAAAGTACAATTTTCCCCAAAGAATGGATAGTGGGGTTACAAATAAAGGTTTGCCTAAGACTGCGGCATGAACACCTCATTCTTTTAATTTTTGTATATATGATTTAATATTTTTAATTTCATAGGTTGACTTTTCATAAATACATAGGTGTGCGATTGAATAATATAATGTGTCCCTCCATGATCTTGGACTATTTTTTTCTTTGCTAATGAGCCATGATTTATAGCTGTTATATGCAAATCTTGATATTATTAGATCAATGACATTTTCATGACTTCTTTTAAAAATAATATTATTGCCAATAACAATATTTTTCCATGAAATTTTGATTTTTAATTTTGAAGAAATATAGATCCACAAGTCTTTTATTTGATCGCACTCTATAATAATGTGTTTTAAATTATTTTCAACCTTACAAAAATTGCAAATTTTTGAATCTGCTTTTTTCCACTTAAAAAGATCTATGGAAGATGGAAGAACATTATGAAATAATTTGAAGTTAAAGTAAGCTACTTTTTTATCAACAATTGCTATAATCTTGTTATTAAAATACATTTTCCAATTTATGTGAAATTTAAAATCAATCTTCCATTTATCTTTAGTGTACATTCTTTCTTTATTATGATATTCAAGGATATTATAGAAAAACTTAGATTTTTGATCTTTGAAGAATACTTTTTTATCATTTGTGTAAAAAAATTGTCCTTTCATAATGTTTACAAACTTAGCAATTTTAGGTTTCATCATTTTTTCGAAAGGTTGCAGTATTTTCCTGGCTAAAGATATTTCTGAAATCCAGTTTCTCTTGTCTTTTAATTTTCCTAAAATATGTTCCTCTTGAAGTAAATTGCCATTCACATCTATAATATCCTTTATATAAAGAATATCACTTTTAATCCAAGATTTAAAAAACAGACACTCTCCATTATTTTTCTTAAACAAATAGTTTCCAAAAATTGATTCTTGACAGCGTTTGTCATGATTTATAGCTACAGTATTCCCTCTGTCTTTACATTTATTGAAACCTAATAATATTTCTTGATAAAATTTAGGGATACTTAATAAAAGTGGCATTTCTTTAGCAGAATTAAAATTCATTCTAAGGAGTATTTCATTATTCGATGTTATTTTATTAAAATTCCACAGGGGTAAAATATTCCACTGATTTTTTTCACCAGGATGGAAAGTTCTAT